TGATGGATCGTGCGTTCGGGCAGTTCCAAGCCGTTGACCGGGAGACGGATGCGACGCTTGTGTTGCTCGCTGGACCCTCTCACTCGACAAAGCTGCATGCGCTCACGTCGCGCTCTATCCGGCGCGACCCTGCGCTGGCCAACTCGCCCAAGCTATCCGCGATCAAGAGCTCATTCAACTCGCTGGCTACGCAGCGGCGCACCACGCGGGCACACCGCGTCTCGCTGGTGCAGCGCCTGCAGCTGTCCTCGGCGTCGTCCGCGGCAGGGTCCCCGGGAGGCGAGGCGCGCGAGGAGGACCTGCGGCGCGCGCTGGAAGCGGCGCTGGGGAGTCTCGGGGAGATGGGCAAGATCTACGAGCAGCGCGAGGTGCGGTGGCGCGACGAGATGCGGCAGCTGACGGAGGATCGGGATCGCGTCGAGATGCTGTTGCGGCAGACGCTGGGACCGGTGCTGCATGAGAACGGGCATGGCAGGTCATGAGCCGTCTCCGTCGTCCTGAAGGTGCTCGATGTCCTTTACGACTGTATGATCTTGGAGACGTGTATTTTACGTAAAGGTGCCACGAATTCACGCGGTTTGGACGACCTACAGCAAAACCAATACCGATAGGAGTCGGCAGTGGTGCAGAGACAGTGACGAGTGGCCGATGAGAGACGGGCTACTGAGTGTCAAGTGAGGATCGTGAGGCAGACGCTTGCTGTAGTCCCCTCGTCCTCTCGCCGTCATCGTCAGTAATGAACGATATATCCATCAGAAGGAACTTGTCGTATACATGTCCGGCTCCATGGCAAATGATTAGATTGAGAAAGCTACTAGAGCTCGTCGTTGTCTGCTATTGCTTGCGGAAGCGGGGTAGACCTCCGAACACAGGGACGAAGATTGAGACGTCAGCGTAGATTAGTATCCGCAAAGAACCTAGTGAGATCTCTGAGGTGCCCAGTGCCGCTCTGCTCCATGCCGCCTATCTGAACTTTTTGCGAGGGAGGTCTATCAATATTGGTTTTGCTGTAAGTTGGCGTGAACATGAACATGAACATTCTGTGCTGGGGCCTGGGTACCCCGAAGGAGAGATGCTGGGCTCTTATACGTGATGAGGGGGAACAGATTAGTGCTCGATCATGTATGAAGAGAATACATGCTTGAGTTCACAGGTAAAAACGATTCTGCATCCGGAGGGGGCCGGTGGAGAGGAGAGCAGCTACGCATGGACAAATCATATAATTCTTGGTACCATGCCCTCCGGAACGACGAGCAGAGTCGAACGCAGCAAGAATCAAGACGATACGATGAGTAGTTCGAGGGATATCCGTGTTTTCAATTTGAGGTGTTTGGCCCGATTGAGTGATGACGGGAATAAGCTGCACTACGGAACCTTTCTGTGGGAGACGGTGCGAGCGGCGCAGGGGGGATGGATGTGTGCGCGGGCAGTGCAGCAGGGCAGTCTTATATATGCCAGGAGACGAGAACGAGCACGTCTGTCTACCGTTGTGACGTCAGACGACGATCGCGAAAGCGAAGCAAGGCGGCATTACCGGATCGGGTAATTATCATACTCCAATAGGCTAGATTGATCAAGGAAGACATCTCAAAGTTCGACGTTAGGTTGCCACACGCCCGAGTTTCTCCACAGGCTGAGGTTCTGCCGAGCCTACAGAGTACTATAAAGTCGACCTTGTGCGCCGCAGCCAAATCTTCTTTCCCCCTCCCCTTCCCTCACGACGAAGGCCTTCAATCTCTTGATGTGGCAGTAAATTGGCGGTATCCTCCACTTTACGGTCTCCTGTTGATTGTAGGAAAGAGGGGCGGACGGTGGACAGACTTTACGTGGGTGTTTGGAGGTGCGTACACGCTATCATCTGTTTTCTTGCATGAGGCAATTTTCCCGCCTCCAGACTGCAAGAACATGTCAACGCCGCATGCGTCCTACGATCGTCCTTCGAGGCATCAACGTGCATACCCAACCTCTAGCTGCAATGCGCGTACACGATGGTCTCGTACCCAGACCTACCGTATCCGCACACCATCATGGGTCTGGGTACGAGACCAGTACACGGATGTATTTGCGGACCTGCCAAATGCGGTTAATGTCCTAGAAGTTGGGACCGATTGCGACGGTTGGTTGTATATCCGGCGATCGGCGGTATTGTTTGCAATTTACTCACGGCGTGCAACACGCTCGTCCAACTCGTGTTCAATCCGCGTCTGTCACTCCACGCCTCACTGAGGACGGCGTTTAGCCTGATGCTGCCTCGTGGTTGACTTAGCTCGAATCAGGATCCGCGCTGTCTGTCTCGGTTGCACCTGTTTTCACGCACACATTTAGGTCATCCAACCGCATCTCATCCCCTAATCGACCACCTCTTCCTCCAAAGGCTAATCAGGCCCAGTATCATACTCCATCACCTTCGCAAGTGAGTCATGCTACAATATCGTCCTTCTCTCCGCTGCCCGCTCATGCAGGTATATAGGGGCTTCCTACTTTTCACCATTCAATGCAGCGGTCTACTCCGGAGGTAGAAGCGGGCTCTTCATCAACATCAATTGCTAGCTCTACCCGACCTACCGTAATTCATCAGCCCAGCCTTCATCGACTCGATACTTATACTGAGACACACTTGACGCGCACCTCTCTACCAACTCCTCCCCCATCGGCGGTTTCCTTGCCAAAGCTAGGTATGAGCTCGACCGATACACCGCTCACCCAGATGCATCGCACACAAAACGTCCGGCAAGTAAGCGGTCCTGGCCCCATCCCATCGCCGGGACCTCCTATCCCTCCGCGAAGCCATTATCGTCAACACACTCAGGACATTTCGCGCCCGCCTATGCAGATACAAATACCTGAGAACGGGGCTTCAACACACATGCAACATCCTCCCCCGCAACAGCAGCACCCTCCGCACACGCACCACACACAAGCCGCTTCACTCGGCGACCACGCAAACATCACTTTGCAAAGGAGATCCTACCCTCCTGCCGTCCAACATGCTCAGTACGTTAATCAGCAACATAACTCCCAACCGCAACACGATCCGCAACTACAACCGCAACCGCAACCGGGGGTCGGGCATCGCAATGACACTCACCATCGCCCAAATATGGCCTCTAGTGCGCAGCAGCACAATCCTGTCTCTGTGACAGGTGCACCTGCTACTCACACTCCTCCATACAAGACTGTATCACATGAAATGAGACACCACCCAGGTGCGTGTTCCAGACGTGGGTCACGAGTATCGACCTGCATTGTTTGGCCTTTCAGTGACTGCCCAGACGTCCTCGGGTGCTCCAAAGCCATCATCGACTGGACCTAGTGTGATACCGGGTGCCCCTCCTACCCCTTTCACCCCAACGTCTACCGCGCCTCCACACCTGCTACCCACACACGGCGCCTCCGCTAGCACGCCCCCGGAGCCTCCCAACCCGAACACGGCTTCTGCGCAATGGCACCCGAGGAACTGGGACACGATAGCGCACGCCGCAGGCACGATGAACGGCGTGCGGTTCTGCATGGACAAGCTGCTCAGCACCGCAGAGCGCACACTCGCGGAGGAGCTGAAGGGCGTGAAGCTGATGTTCCACCAGCGCGAGTCGGAGATGATGGCCGTTCTGACGGAGCGCATCACTCAGCGCTGCGCAGAGCGGGACGCGGTGCGCAGGGACGCGGAGGCGCTGGCGCGCGAGCTTGACAACACGAAGCGGCAGCTGGAGGGCGTGAAGCAGGAGCGCGATCAGGAGCGCGATAGCGTGGTGCGCATGCGGGAGCACGTCAACCGCGTGTACCACGCGTCTGTGGGGCTGAGCCAGGAGTGCGAGCGGCTCAAGCAGGAGCGCGAGAGCCTGCGCGACGAGGCGTGGCGGCTGAAGGAGGCGCTAGCGCAGGAGGCGGTCGCGCGGCTGGAGCGTACGCGGTCGACAGAGGGGGCGCCCTCCGTAGACGTTGTGGCGTTCAATGCGCGTGAGTCTCTGCCTCTGCCACGCCCGTTCGCGGAGGCGACTGACGGCGTGTCATCGCAGTGTTTTCGCAGGCCAAGACGGAGCGCGAGCAGAGGCAGAAGGCCGAGGGCGAGGCGGCGCTCCTCAAGGGCCTCTTGAAACAGGTGCGTGTGGCCGCCGCGCTGCAGTGTGTAGCGCGGAGATGACTGACATGCCGTTGCGCCGCAGTACATGGAGGCCGCCCGCTCGCCCTCGTCCTCCACCAACCCCCCATGGCTGGATCTGCCAACGCCTATTCCCACGCCAACTACGCTGTCTGGTCTGGGCCTTCTTGATGCCAGCATGCCTGCGGCCTCTCCCACTGCCGCCGATGCGCCAGCGGACGGCGCTTCTGCGCGTGTCTCGCCATCCGCTGTACAGGACCTCCTTGCCTCTCTCGGGTTCGAAGCTGGGTACGGCCTCGTGACGCCCAAGTCCCGGATGACCTCGGTGGACTTGGAGCCCCTTCGCCAAGACCGGCCAGAGACGGGCTGTGCGGGCCCTCCTAGATTGGAGGGGCGTAAGGCAGGCGAGGAGGCCGGAGCGGAACGGGCGGCTGCGGACGCACAGACGAGAGACGTCCCCGAGGGCGACGAGCGGGGCGGGAAGCGCGCGAGGAGCCCGTCGGCCGTCTTGTCCGAGCAACAGGCAAAGAAGCGGCGCCTCGAGGCTGCTGTGAGGCTCGCTGAGGCGGCTGATGCCTCGAGCGGTGTGTGCAGCGCTCTGCCCTTCACGTCGACTGCGCGCGGCGCGGATGTGGCCGGCCTTGACAAGACGCCAGGAGACACAGACCTGACGGACATGGAGCTGCAGTACGACGAGGACGACGAGGACGTCAAGCCACAGCGTGCGGTGTCTGTGTCGGACGAGGGAGCAGACAGCGAACTCACCGAGGTCGACCAGCTCAAGCAAGAAGATGCGGACGATTTGCAACTCCAGAGCGAGGCAGGGGAACTTCTCCCGGCGAAGGACGAACATGACAAGGACAGCACGGACAGCGGTATCGCTGAACGCCCTCGCGCACCAGGCCTGAGTTTAGCTGCTACGCCACCCGACCCGCCCGCTTCTGCGTTCGCCACGCAACCAGCTCCGCAACCGGTCACACCAACAGAGCCGTCTCGACCCCCAACGCCGCAGGCGCAGGCGGTCGCCCCGCCAGGCCGGCCGTCCAGTTCAGCACGGAAGCAGCTGAGCATATCGCACCTCCCGCTCATGTACGACACGGTCGGGGACAGGCTGTTATGCGTGATGTGCCGGTACGTGCATTGATTTCTCGCGACGTGCGTCAGATGCAGCGGGCTGAGCGATGATGGCCTGCAGGGCGCGCCGGCGGCACAAGGACGCGGAACACCCGATCACTTGCTTCCCGACGAGCGCGTCGTGGACGGAGCTGGCGGGCCACTGCGAGAGCGCGCACCCGGGCGGGTTCCAGAGCCTCATCTTGATGTCGTCCAAGCAGATAGCAGAGACGAAAATGCGCATGCAGCGGTGACGAGACAGCCTGCTTTCTTTCGCGTGTGCTCGTTCGTAAGCGCCATGTTGTGTGTACCGTTCTCGTAGGTCCTCTGTGTTCTCGATTTGTTGTGCTCTCTGTACGATGATAAAATTAGTTTATGGTTATGCGTAATATTATGGCCCATGGGTGTTATGATGGCTATGACATAATTGTCTGCCTACATACGACAAGATCTTTCCTTCACCCCCCGGCTGCCGCACACTGACTGCGCTTCAATCTGCAGCAATTCAACGGCAGGAGATTACCGCTGACTCGGTGCGTTCAGCCGCAAATCGAGATTAAACAGGAAGTGATTTCTCTCTTGTCTCATACCCATCCCCCCCACCACCGGAACGGGGATGGGTACGAGACAACCGTCCCTCACCTCGAAGACCAGGTCCACATCATGGATCACAGCAGGCAGATATCTATGTTTGCAATCACGCAAGCCAATTCGAATGTCTGCGCCTGAAACAGGTGGGCATCGCTACGGCATGACATGCCACTAGCCCTTCGCGGCATCACCGTCTTCGTCGAATACTGGCATAGTCGCCGTTCGGTCCCGCCTACAGTGGTCTTAGCATTCGAAAGTAGGTACGTAATGCACGTTCTTCTACTGCGTAATATGCATTGCATCCATCATGAGGGCCTGGTGTCCCAAACGATTTCATGGATCCGCTTATTCGTCTGTCCACACGACCAAGACTCCATCATATTCGGGTGCTTCTGTCAGTCCCCCGTCGTCTCGTGGGGCCAGGATCAGCACTGTGCCTGTGGAGCCAATGACTTTCAAATCTGAGGCTGCCATCAAGCTGATCTTCGTGTGCATTGACTCCGTCTCTATGCCCGCGCGGCGCAGTCGCACCCTGTTGTGCGCATCAGTGCACGCTCTGGAATGATCACAGACTGTCATAATGCGCCAAAGGCCTTGCTTCTTGTTGCGCCCTGCCACGTTCGGGATATAGTGTGTGATGCGCCAAGGCCGTCATGTCGACCAAACCGACTGATATCACAGGTGAGCCAGACGCAGAAAGAGGCTATCAACGTTTCGGATCGGCCCGACAGCAAAACGCAGCGCACGCGACTCACGATGCTCACCGTTGCGAACAGACGACTGTTTTGTCAAAACAGACCCGACCAGATGTCGTGAAGAAATGAGAACTGATAACAACTGCGGGGGGCACACTGAGGGCTATTGCGTAATGTACGTACTATCAGATTCGGAGTTTTGCAAAGTCATGCATTGTTCGCTTTGCTCTGTTTGAAAACATGGCAAGGATTGTTGGTATTGTACTCAGGCATTGTTGTGAACACACGGACGAGTACCCAGAATGAAACTGGGGCCCATACACGAAACATCCAGTGGTGCGAGATGCCGTATTCGAGGCGTCGCATTGCAGAACAACCATCGCCCACCAGCCATGCCTTGCTGAGTGAATCAGACTGGTGTACCAGAACATTCAAAGCTGTAATATACCGAATCGGATGTCTGCTCGTTGAGAAATATAATGTGTGTCTCTGGATCTCGCTCATCACATGTTTGCAGAACACCCTAAGAACAGTCTGCAGGCCGTCATTTCACTTCAACTTTATTTCTTCACAATCGCTCTTGCACATAGTGTATACTAAATGCCTACTAGCACCTACAACAATCAAAATTATAGTTTGCATGGTGTGCAGTGGATATCACGCAGTTCTGCAAAACCCCGTATCTATAGATATTCTGCTTGCCTGCATCCGCATGGAAATGAGTAGTGGACGCCCGTATCTGGTAGGCGTGTTCCTCGATCTGAAAGATGTCTGTGGCGATACTTTACCTTGGAAGTCGTTGGCAATGGCGACTGCTGCTGATTTTGGCAGCCATAACGAGCTCACCGACATGTTCGTGGAGATTGCCCAGGAAGACGTCGCCAGGACTGCGGCTGTCGGATAAGCCCAGAAGCGGATAATTGCCATAATGAAGTGTTACGTAAATAGGGTTATTGGGGGCGGTTGCGAGGAGAAGGGCAGCAACGGGCGTGATGTCGACGAGGGTCGCGTACGGCGAGTGAATCAGAGCCGCTGCCCTCGACTGCCCTTTCGCCGCACTCTGGAGCTGAGCCCGCCGCGCGAGAGAGAGAGCAGGGAGCCCACCGATGGCCTCTGCTGCGACCCACGACCCATATTCCAAAGGCGAGTGGCCTTTTAGTGGTGCCTGGCACAGAAGCCGGACTGATTACCGTTATTATGCAGACACCCTCCCTCGTCTCTCTCTCTCCATCGACCACCCGCCCTCGACGTCCCCCTTCCCGTCCCCCGGCTCGCCCTTCCTCCCCCCGCCCCGCCTCAGCGCACACGAGTTCGCTCTCCGCACTCCCGTCGCCAGCCCCCACGCACGCGCAATGGCCTCCGCCTTCAAGCGGCGCGACGACGCCGCCCCGCCGCCGTCGCCGTTGTCCTCGCCGGCCCCCATGTCCGACGACGACGCCACGCCCACCACCGCCTCCATGAAAACCACCTTTCCCCGCCCTGGCGCATCCCCGCCCCCCACGCCGACCGGCAACGGCGACCCTGCCGCCCCCGCGCCGTCCACGCCCACCATCACCATCCCCGAGCCCTCCTCCCCCGGCCTGGGCGAGCACACGCACACGCCCGCCGTCCGCAACTCGCTCACCTCCTCGCGGCCCGCGCCCCCCAGCCCCGCCGTCTCCCGGCGCACCTCGACGGCGCTCTCCCGCCGTTCTTCCGCCGCACGCTCGCGCCGCCAGTCCAAGGCGCCGTCCGTCCAGCCCGACGCCGAGCCGTCCGCATCGACGTCGGCGCCCGGCACGCCGCAGCCCAAGCGGCGCTCGCTGCTCGTCAAGATCCGCGACTTTGCGTTCCCGGCGTCCGACGCGCGGCACGTCGGGCGCGGCGCGGACGTCCCGAAGCCCAACCGCCCGCGCCCGCGCTCGAGCGCGTCCTCGTCGGGCGCGAGCGACGCCGCGGACGACGACGACGACGAGGCGCGCGGCGGCTGGGGCTCCTTCCGCTGGAACACGCTGAGCAGCCACTTCTCGTGGGGCCCGAATATCGGCGCCATGCCGTCCACGAGCAGCGGGCCGTCCCGCACGGACTTTGAGCGCAACTTTGACGTGTCGTCGCCGATGGAGGAGAGCGCGGATCCGTACGCGGACGAGGACGCGGACGACGAAGAGGACGACGGCGCCTATGAGGGCGCGGAGGACGCGTACCCGGCGGAGGATGCGCCCCTGGTGCCCGGTCTATATCGCGCGATGTTCGCGTTCGAGCCAGAGGGCACGGCAGAGATGGCGCTGGAGGAGGAGCAGGCCGTGCGGGTCGTCGGGCGTGGCGGGGGCGTTGGCTGGGCGGTGGTGGAAAAAGAGGGCGGGGGACACGCACTGGTGCCCGAGAGCTATCTAGAGCTGGTGCAGGCGGACCCGTGAAGGCTGCAGGGCCCCTTTTCTGCCGTTAATGCCGCCGTCGACGTGTGTATACCATTCTCTCAACTGTTTATCGTGGCCGGTCTGTCTATTGACAATGTTTTTGTGTCTAACAATCATTCATGTTCACTATACGTGCGCGATGGATCATGCGGCCTGCAAGCCGATATCATTCGGCAGCTCACGCTGCGTAGAATATAATCTGAATATCGATGGTTAGCAGATGCAGCACTCGGTAGGCAACTGGTCGTGTCCGTGATGGACAAGTGCGGTGATACAGAATGCAAAGTACTAGTGACTGATAAAACGCTTAGACGTTGTCTCCAATGCAGAGGTTCCTTCGATCAGGGTTGTGATCGATGTTGCAGAAGGTCGATCGATCGAGCGAGAATGTAAACGGCCAAGCTTCCCTTGAAATTTCTTCCAGCCACCTCGAGACTCTGCCATCTCGTTCTTCGAGCCCCTCACGTGCAATCCATCTCTCTTCGTTGCATTCACTCGTGCAGTATGAGCTCCGAGAACGGTCAGTGACCGCAATGCGGCTGCTTCCCTCGGTGCTGAAGCATCGTCTCGCAGTCCTCATCGGTGTCATCGGGGGCAGCGGTCTCTACCACCTCGACAACCTCACCTTCATGTAGGTCGCCCATCCTCTGCGCCCCGCCATCGTCTGATTATCCGTCGTCTCCAGTAAGCACGTCAACCCCGAGACAGTAAGTCCGTCCCTTCTCCCGCAGACCCTCCCTCACCTCCACCGCCCAGCCCTGGGGCTTCCCCAGCTCGCCCATCACCATCTGTGCGCTCCCCTCCGGCACACGCGTCGCCTTCCTAGCGCGGCACGGCACGGGCCACTCCATCGCGCCCTCCGCCGTGCCCGCGCGCGCGAACATCGCCGCGCTCAAGGCCCTCGGCGTGCGCGCCGTGCTCGCCTTCTCTGCCGTCGGCTCCCTCCGCGAGGACATCCGCCCCGGCGACGTCGTCCTGCCCGCGCAGATCATCGACCGCACCAAGGGCGTGCGCCCCGCGTCCTTCTTCGAGGGCACCGGCGTCGTCGCGCACGCCGCGTTCGGCGACCCCTTCGCCGCGCGCCTCGTGCGCTGGCTCGAGGGCCGCGTGCGCGCCGTGCTCGCCGAGGAGGCCGCGCGCGTCCAGCGCGAGACGGGCCGCCCGGACGCCGGCCCGCGCGTCCACGCGGACAAGTGCGTCGTGTGCATGGAGGGCCCGCAGTTCTCGACGCGCGCGGAGAGCCAGATGTACCGCGCGTGGGGCGGCGACATCATCAACATGAGCGTGCTCCCCGAGGCGAAGCTCGCGCGCGAGGCCGAGCTCAGGTGCGTGCCCGTTACTCCCTGCGCCCCTTCTCCCCCCCTCTCTCTCTGTGTGCACCGTGCGCCCCGTGCTGATGCGCCCGGACCAGCTACGCGCTCATCGCGACCGCGACGGACTACGACTCGTGGCGCCCGCACGAGGACGCGGTGACCGCGGCGGAGGTGTTCAAAACGCTGCAGGAGAACGCGCGGATCTCGCGGCATGTCGCGGCGACGGTGCTCGAGGAGCTGAATGCGGCCGCCGCGGACGGCGAGCTGCTCGCCGGGGAGGTCGGCGCGATGCAGTACTCGATCATGCCGCGCTCAGCGCAGCAGACGGACGAGGACCGGCAGAAGCTCGCGTACATCCTTCCGACCTACTTCAGCTGAAGCGTGGGCGCGCTCAGGCTGTTTTGGCCGTTCCGAGTTCCAGGTTGCTGCATACTAGTGCTTGACTGTATGAGTAGCTAGGCCATGTGTGAGATCCTACAAAATGTAACACAAGATGATCGGCGTCTGACAATCATTCCCGGACGTTGTCCTGGAGGTGTGCCTGTGTGCGCATTTTCCCTTCGAATTCCCAGACCAACGAGTCATACGCGTCAAACGATCGTGTTTGTGAACGTATCATCGGAACAGCTCAGGCAGCGTGCAGGACAAGTTGTTGCAGACTGTCTCATACAGCCGCACCCCACTGCACAGTGCTTACTTCCGTGTAGGGACATGTTCATGACAACAAGCGCTTGACACTACAGCTAAATACAGAAGGAATCCTCGGATATCTCATACACCCGGACGGCGAAGTACACGACCGCAGCGAAATGCGATGCTCTGTGGCCCAGCAATCTTATAGCTCGTCAGCGGGCCGTCCCCCGTGGACGCCTTCCTGACTTTTGCTCGCCCACGGCAGGCCCTCGAGCCACGGGCGCGCGATGCCATTGAACGCCGTCGGGTTCTCGAGCTGCGCCCAGTGCGCACCTTTGATGAGCTTCGCGACTTGCTCAGGTTCATGTGATCGGATAGGGGATACTGAGACTTACGTGCGTCGTCAGGTTGGGAAGGTAGTCGGCGCTGTGGAGCAGCTTGGCGGCCTCTTCCCAGTTCGCTACTGGGTCCTGCATGATCCGTGTGAGCAGCCAGTTCCGGTCGACGAACGGTGGTAGTTGTTTGGACTGCGTACGTTAAGTGGGTAGATCGCTAGGACTGGATGCGTGATTGTCCGGTTGCCCTGGGCGTCGATAAAGGCCCAAGTGCCGTGCTGATTCTGCGGACGTTCGTCAGGCCGGAGAAGGATCATAATGTAACGACCGACGTACGTCTGGCGTGTAGAACTGCAAGGCTACCGGATTCCTCCGAATCAGCGTCGGGAGATGTTCCGAGGCCAAGGAAACTTACTGTGATAGAAGCCCTGGATGCTATATTGCTCGACCCAGTAGTCCTCTTCCTCTTTCGTGAAGAACGGGATGGGCGGGATCTGGCATATGCGTGTTGGCACCCTCCAGGATACCCACGCATGGCGGAGAACGCACGTACCTCGGCGATATCGGCGTACGCAGACAAGAACGAATGGGTATCCGTCAAGAAGCCCTCCGGCGGCGGGCTGTCTACAGTGCGCAGCGTAGCTCGGAGCGAACGGCGTATGTCGCGGTCGAGCTCGTCTGCAGCGGCCTTGGGGGTCTCGCCCAGGAAGACCTGGTACGCGAGCTCCGGGAAGACGGGGACGAGCGCGGAGGTGGGTGCGTAAGGGCCGGCGTTGGGCAGGTACGGTATGATGGAGCCGAGCACGGCGAGCGCGAGGTCAGGGCGCTGGCGCGCGAGCTGGAAGCAGACGGAGGTGCCCCAGTCGTGTCTGCGGGTCGCGCGGTCAGTGCGCAGAACAGAGCAGGGATGGGGGGGTGGGGGGGGGGGGGTGCGCACCCCATGCAGACGACATTGCTGACTCCGGCGTGCGCGAGGACGCATGTGAGGTCGCCGACAATGTCGGGGATGGTGCCTGACGATTTGACGTCGCCGGGATGCCCAGATGGGCCGAACCCACGTAGGTCGGGCACTATGAGGCGGAAGTCGTCCTGCACAATATCGACAAGTCTTTGTCAGCACGTGGTTGGACGAGAAGAGCCATTAGAGAAAAGTTGACAGCTGCGCCCATAGATTTCAAATAACAATTTATAGAGTCCATCGAAGGTGTTCGATTATATATTGTTCCAATAATAAGGGAGCAATAGCTGCCGGGCTACGAAAATTTAAGCTAACAGTAGCCCGAGTTAGAGTTGAAATGCAGATGCGCGCAAAGAAACATCGAAGGTACGTTGATCGCTGCATGAACACACTGCACCCACGATGTTCCACAAAGTCACACAAGACAGACCACAATAACTGTGCTTTGCGAGAATATGGGTGATGTGAAGGCTGTACTCCAGCGAGATGAGTGTCTGCACAGGCGGCAAGCACGCCGAGTGCTTCTCAAAGACAAGGACTCCTCTTCAATGATACCAAAGTGCCAGACAATATAACAGACACCACAGAAGCACAGCAGTCAAGTAGCACAAGCCACAATTGCCACAGGAGGCAAGGTATGTCCTCTGTACAAGTAGGGACACCGAGAGGAGATGACAGCGCTTGAATGAAGCGCCGACAAGCCGCCGGATAGGCTAACGGACGTGAAGCAGCTCCATTACGCTGAAAAGTCGGCAGATATGAAGGACCAAAAATACGTCATCGACATCGACCCCAAAGCACGTCTCAAAGGCCAGACGTTGAAGATCTCTCATTCTATTGTACTGAGTGCGCAGCGATGGCAAGTCAGCCATTAACGCAGCCACAATCACCATAAATTCGGCCGCCGCAACCACCGCGGCAGCTTTAATGGTTGACCGGTAACCACATAAGGGGTTATGTGGGAAAAGACATACCTTGAACTCTTCTATCTGGTACTTCCAGCTGTGCCAAAGGCTTGGCCAGCCATGAACCATCAAGACTGTGCGCTCAGCGTTTGGATTGACCTCGACATAGTCTGTAGTGTTGTAAAAGAATAATAATTGTTAGCGAGGCGAAAACAGTGGAAGTCAACATGACGCATACCGATGCCGATGTCTTTGACTTCCTGGCTGGCGCGATTAAGCGCTTTGCACGTCGCGACCTTCTTGGGAAGATCTTGCGGGAGGAAAGACACGCTCAAGCCCTCAGCAGCCGTGAGGGTAGCAAAAGTGGCAGCAGCGAGCAAGACAGTCGGTAGACGCATCTCTCGGGGAGAAAACGGAGTATCGGGGGAGGACGATAGACTCTCGCAATTTGAGTAGGCCTTATGAAAGTGGACAAGGCTGTGATAAATGAGGATGTGAGCGTTCCGCCGTGCCGTTCCGGAGGTGTATTCGCCGGTTCAATCCCATGTGGGTGGAGGATAGTAGTAGCTCGCGCACCGCATCAGGATCACTGCCACCTGCGCGCTGACGGGTCGAAGGCGCCTCTGCTAAATAGTAGACGAGATGCGAGTTGTGGCCGCAAAAGCCCAGAAGCCTCCATGCGTCGTAAGGTGGATTAGATAATTAAAGCGAGTTTCATACTCTTCATGATCTTGGATTGATTTTGTCTTCAAGCTTGACGACGAATTTGAGGGCGCCAATTCAAATTCCATATTTGGAAGGATGATTGGCGCGAAAATTGTACACGTGACTTAGGACGCTTTTTCAATGCGCGTCAGGCGCGCAAATTTCCTGCCACCTTCCTCTTGGCCACCATCTTACTTTCCTCACTGCCCAAGCCGATGACCATCATGCCTGAAAAAACGTATCTCGACGCCTCCAAGGCTCTTGAGTATCTCAAGACTTACGAACACCCCGATGGTCTCGCCGTCGATGAGCTCATGAATTCCAAGATCCATGGCGGCCTCACGTACAATGACTTCCTCATGCTGCCCGGCAAGATCAGCTTCGGCGCTCACGAGGTCGTCACCGAGAGCCGCATTACGCGCAACGTTGTGCTCAAGACCCCATTCATGTCTAGTCCCATGGACACCGTCACTGAGGGCGACATGGCAATCGCGATGGCGGTGAGCGTGCACGGCCCAGTCCGCCCCGCTCTGTGTCCGACTTGCATCTTTTTGTGATTGCAGCTTCTTGGCGGCATCGGCGTCATCCACCACAATCAGTCGCCGGAGGAACAGGCGGCAATGGTACGTCGCGTGAAGCGGCACGAGAACGGTTTTATCACCGACCCTGTCGTGCTCTCGCCTTCACACCGCGTCGATCATGTTCTCGACGTCAAGGACCGTCTTGGGTTTGCTGGCATACCCATCACAGGTGAGCTGCTAGTCCTGTTTATGCCCCCTTTCTTGTGATGATTACCATTACAATACCTTCGTTCTTCCGAGGAACGCGTGCAACACGTGTGGTATGCGGAGTATTATGTATCAGCTTCTGACCGCCTTGTAACATTACGTATCGATTATTGAAGGCCATGCTAACCTTGACGCGCAGATACTGGTGCTCTTGGCGGCAAGCTCCTTGGCATCGTGACTAACCGCGACATCCAATTCCGCCAGCCGTCAACGCCGCTGTCGGAGGTCATGACGACGGACCTGATCACTGCTCCGGAAGGTGTCACGCTGGAGGAGGCAAATGACATCCTCCGCGACTCCAAAAAGGGCAAGCTCCCCATCGTCGACAAGGAGGGCCGCCTTACGTCTTTGCTTGCGCGCTCGGATCTCCTGAAGAACCAGAACTTCCCGCTGGCATCGAAGCTGCCGTCGAGCAAGCAACTGTACGCAGCCGCTGCGGTGGGCACGCGGCCAGCCGACCGTCTGCGACTAGCCCTGCTCGCAGAGGCGGGGCTGGATATCGTAGTTCTGGATTCGTCGCAGGGCAACTCTGTTTTCCAGCTGGAAATGATCAAGTGGATCAAGGAGAAGCACCCTAAACTGGAAGTTATTGCAGGGAATGTTGTCACGCGCGAGCAAGCGGCCAGCTTGATCGCCGCCGGGGCGGATGCCCTGCGTGTGGGCATGGGCTCGGGGTCGATCTGTATCACTCAGGAGGTCATGGCAGTCGGACGGCCGCAGGCAACGGCAGTGTATGCCGTAGCAGAATTCGCGAGCAAATTCGGCGTGCCTGTAGTCGCGGACGGAGGCATTCAGAACGTGGGGCACATCGTGAAGGCGCTGGCGCTGGGCGCGGGTGCGGTGATGATGGGCGGTTTACTGGCGGGCACGACCGAGGCGCCGGGAGAGTACTTCTACCACGAGGGCAAGCGCGTCAAGGCGTACCGCGGTATGGGCAGTCTGGAGGCAATGGAGCAGGGGAAGCCGATGCCGACGTCGGCGGCGAATGGGATGACGAGCAACGGGTCGACGAAGAAGAAGGCGGCAACTCATGAGAATGCAGCGACGACGCGGTACTTCTCGGAGTCATCTGCAGTGAAGGTCGCGCAGGGCGTGTCAGGCGATGTGCAGGACAAGGGCTCGGTGAAGCAGTTTCTGCCGTACCTGTACACGGGGCTGCAGCACTCGTTCCAAGACATCGGGGTCAAGAACGTGCAGCAGCTGCGGGAAGGCGTGCGCGAAGGGCAGGTGCGGTTCGAGCTGCGTACGGCGAGCGCGCAGGTCGAGGGTGGTGTGCATGGCTTGCATTCGTGAGTGCTCAACAACTCTGGAAGTGGCACGTGTGTAGCTGACAATCGTTCCAGGTATACGAAGCGTCTCTTTGCGTGAGGCAGCTGTCTCGTTGTGGGATTTTTGCTTTGGGTTGGTTGTACAGCGTTGTATCGATAATTTTAGGTGCCGTCTCCTTGCATATCGTTTGAATTCTTAAGCTGTCTTCACATGACACTGCTCTCCTTCCTCTGGCAGCCTTTGAGATGTTCCGACATATAGTTTTCCCTCTACGTCCCTCGAACCTCAACAGTCAGTGCTGTTTGTTTGAGATGTCACCTACATCATACGTTCTGGCGATATTAACAATCGGGAATCGATTGCGATCGGGACCGACAACCACCCACTGTTCGATCGCGCGCGTCTAGACTGCATCTGGGCCGCCGCTGTCTATGTCAATGCCAGCCTCCGTCAGCCATCCCCGAACTCTATATATTCCGAGCTCAGCCAACGTCTCCTTCATCCTGCGCACCTCTTCCGCCTCGGCGACGTTATTCCGGCAATAATCCACCAGGCTCAGACCCTTCGTTCTTTCTTCTTTCTCTCGTATTTGTATATTCATTTTAATCTCTTGGATTGAACAAGATGTCTTTGCCCGGTGCCCCTCTCACTCGTCGCCTCGCCCATGGCCTGTCCTATGTTACACTATCGACCTCAGCTTCGGGCCAGCTTACATTGCCTCTCGTCGACCCCGCTACCGGTAGGCTCGAACATTACGCGCTCGTCAAGATCTCTAGTCCAACCTTGGCTTTGCGTACTACCTCCGGCAGCACGAAGTGCATACGGTCCTCTCGCCGCACTCTCTCAGACACTGGGTTACTTGCCTCTTTAGACAAAGCTGGGCACATCGCAGGCCTCACCGACTCGCAGCGGCGCCTTACACGTCTTTCAGAAGAGTATTTTCTCGACGTCCCACTCTCTGCCCTATTTGCATGCTCTTCGGAGTCGAACGTGGAGTCAATAGCTCTCGCCTTCGAGGCGAAGCTTAGCCGCTCCGAGTCAGCCTCTTCGAGCGCGCTCTCGCTTCCGCCATCCCCACTTCTCAAGAGCCGCCACATGCGCCTCCGCGCTCTCATCGGCTCGCGTGAGGGCACGCCAGAACTACTGGAGACCTCGCAGCGTTCCTCTCTCTTCTCGAGTCCGTCTCTTTCGCTCGCCCGGACGCCGGCACGCAGTGCCGCGCGCACCTCGTGTCCCGGCGCATCGGACAGCGGTATTGAACGCAAGACCGCCGCAGAGGCCGCTGACACTTCTGCCGCGCTCGTCGGTCTCGGGCTGCTCGGTATGACGAACACAGATGGTTCTCCCTTCGACGGCCTTGGCGTCCTCCCGCACACCCCATTCTACGACGAGTACGAGCACACCGCAGCGCACGCGACCTCCACGCCACTCTCGGGCTCCGCCGCCGACTTTGCCTTCCTCTCCGCGGGCCGCTCCGCATCGCATGCCGGGTGGCACTGGGCGGGCGCGCTACGGTGGGAGGAGGAGGAGCCGCATTTCGCCGACGCGCCGCTGAGTCCCGGCGCACGCTACTGGCGGGACGCGACCGCCGCCGATTTCCGCCGACGGCTCGATGATGCGTTGCGCGGCGCATCGGCTGACGAGGTGCGCGCGGTCGGCACGCTCAAGATGGCGCGGCACCGTGAGCGCCGCAGCAAGATGGCCCATGAGCGGTATGGCTTGCCGTGTGCGCCTGCGGTGGACGACGTGTTCTTGTCGGCGGGATCCGCATCTGCGGTCAGAAGCGATGCGTCAACGCCGGTGGGGCCGAGAACGGCGCTGGGCTTCTGTCTGCTGGATGCTACGCGCTAGATCCGCAATGTAGATGTAGGACAACTGTGCAACGCCGGTGTCTGAGGAAGATCAATGTGCGCGCGCAGTGCTTCAGAAGATTCAGAGCCGTATAGTCAATTAGAGCCCGTAATCACATTACTGCGCAACGGACCAACACGGAAACTGAAGCTACACGAGGGACCGAACCAGAGAACTTGATCATACACGCCGTGAGTATCTCATGATGATGGTATAAACCAACTCTACATGTTGCCTGTATCCGCATCGTTAGTAGATGATCCTTGTGCTCAGGTGTGGTTCGCTACCGGATAGCTGTGCGGGAAGGACGCCGGGGAACAAATTGTGATTCCCTAGTCCCTACGCCTGCAACTAACCACAACGATCCTTGTCTCTGTTGATCTCACTCCCTGCTACCGTACCCATGCTGCACGCGGCTTTGCAATCTTTTTGTTATACTCTGTTAGCACATCGTCTGACTCCGTGGCAGCAGGCGTTGACTTGCCGCCAATCAGCGAGCAGTCTCGGGACATTTTAGGCTCCTGAGCCAATCAGGCACGGGGGTGGTCTGTAAAATTCACGGTAAAGCACAGTATGAGGACACTATCTGTGTCCTGTTCTCACTGTGATACAGTGAGATGCAATTGCTTTCATCTGCTACTCATCCATGATGGTGGAGTCGAGCTCATGAATAGGATGATGGGCGGGTGTTGACATTGCCCCAGGGCGGTGTTCTTCTAACTCTGTTGCAGCATGCTCCGTCTCCCGAGTGTTGTCGAGCGCTGAGCGCCCTCTGCCAACAGTCACAAGAAACGGATGTTGAGGCCCTGCAAGGTCGCATGACATTGATCACGTAGTCAAATAACGCTCATTATTGATCTGACACATAGAAGTGCCCTGGCGCGCAACAGGTACGGAATCCCCGGCGAATCAAGTTCGACATTTCGAGTTGATGACCCACGTAATTGCGCAGCCTCACCTCACGACTTGTCAACTGCTATTATATTTATCCTGCCTGGGTAAATTTGGTTTATTCTTGCTTACGATGAAGTGTCCCGCATCGCCTGTGATAGTTCTCCGGTAGATTTTTGCAGGTTGTCGTCAATCGTGCTCGCAGCTCAACTGCAGGAATACCTCACGCACTAACATCTCGCGCCGACATACTGCCTATTAGATCCGATACGCGTCGACATAGCCATCGTGTGCCCTCGTGTTTTTCCTTTCATCGGTCATATCACCAATGGGAGGTTTTGTCTGGGCTGCCTCTGGCCTGGCGCGCTAGGTCGTAGGAGATTATTCGCCCTCGTCTGCGGATTCGGAGACACCACGTTGGCTCTTCGAAGCTAACGAAGTGTCCACAGTGGTCTTGTACCATCATTCCATCATGTGCATCTGCGATTGAGTTCTCGTCGAACAGAGGCACAGAACTACCGGTGGTAGCATAGCCCGTTACGCAAGAAGCCAGGCGATGCTTTCAACCTCGTGGACGGTGGACTTAGAAGCCAAGAGAAAACCCCCAATCTTCAGGAATTCACGCAATGGCTTATCGTACATGCGGACACCTCCTACATTCTCGAACTCTTAACAATAAGGGTCATCATGTAAGCCTTTGGGCAGTGCGCGGACAATAATCCAGTGCGGAATCCGAGCTGAAATCTGCTCGGAATTCACGTTGGAATCCGTACTGTGAACGCCCCAGATTACCGCTGTTTGCTTATTTGTCGACATTGGTTGCCGTGGTAATGCGCCATCGGTGGCCAATGTCAAATGAACCATAATATGCATCTTTGACTCGGTGCCGTCATGCGCGGCAGCGATCGAGACTGAACTTGAAACACGATCATATGAGCATTGTCTGTAGCACGGCAATGCAGCTGATGATGAATGGGTACTCGAACGTGCGATGGGGTGTACGGGTACGGCGGGCCTCGAAAAAAGACAAGTTTTCGCATGGGAGAGCCAGAGCACAGGCTGTACAGCGCCCATAGTGATCTGCAATGGAAGTCCAGCGTCGTGTACCTTTCCCACACTCCGAGCGATATCCGTGCCCCTCGCGCCTTATGACCAAGTCTGAATGTCTTCCCTTCTTGTTCACGTCTAGATACCAATCAAACAAGACTGCGATACCGCCCAACCTCACTTGGGTGACCGCTGATCTTGCTAATTTTGGGATCAATGTTGCTTTGTTGCTGTGTCAAAGATGCACGGAAACACCTGGCGCCGGAAACTCGCCTGTGTAGTCGTCTTGGGACCGCTTAGATTGTAGGTTAGATCCAACCGCTTCGTGGTGATGCCGTCTTGCCCACGTTTCACGGGCCAGCACCGGATGGTTTCGCGCGAAAGAACCGCAATTCCCAACCGGGGTGAATTGCACCGAACCTAATTCTTGACATCTCAAATCACCGCTTTCAAGGCCTAAGATGCCATTAGTTCCTGAAATGATCGATGCAGATCTCTCATACATATGTAAGAGACACGACTGCGTGCCTCCCGCCGTCCACCCCTCCTCCCTCCACCTTCTGTTCGTCTCCCGAGTCGTCTGCAGACATGGCCAAGATGTCACTGCACTCTACGTCTCTCCATCACCTACTGCTCAAGTACGCGCTAGTGACGGCGCTGATGGCTGTTGTAGTGAAAATGATGTGCGTGTCCTGGTGAAGGCTAACGAAATCAGCACTGACGCCGTCTTAATGACAGAACGGCTGTTCATGACCTTACGCTTATCGACGTGCCCCCCTTCTCTCTTGACACGCATCCCTTTGTTCCTCCCAAAACGTCCGATAGTCGCTCGCCGTGCCCGGCACTTAATACTCTAGCGAATCATGGCATGCTGTAAGTACAGTCTTCCATTGCTTGCCATGTTGCTCACACCTCGCGTAGACGGCACGACGGGCGTGAGATCACACGCACAGACTACATTCGCGCTCTCCGCCAAGGATACAATCTTTCGCTTCCGCTGGCCACGTTCCTGACCATCAGTGGACACGTATTACTCTCGCAATACTCCACGTTGTCGTTATCGGACCTGGGACGTCACAACTTCATCGAGCACAACGCGTCGCTTGGCCACTGGGATGCCGTAGGCGATGAAGAGTACGCTCCCGACAAAACAAGTTCTTCGCTCATCTCCCAACTCGTGAACCAGTCGACGGACGGACGGACGATGTCGATGCGCGACTTGTCCGCGGCACGCATACTCCGCGAGAAGGCCTATTCTCGTCCACTAGACTCCTTGCACGAGGAGATCGCGCGCGGGGAGATGTCCATGGTGCTCGGCATCTTTGGCCGCGGTAACGAGTCCGTACCGATCTCATGGATCGAGGAGTGGTGGAAGAACGAGACATTCCCGCGCGACTTCGTTCCCGAGCATGAGCAGACGCTGTGGAAGACCGTGCGTGGGTCCTGGAAGATCAACATGCTAATGCGCACGATGAGGGCTGAGGCTGGGATCTCAACCTGGCTATTGCGCCATCTAGTCTGGTGATGACAGGCGTGGGTTACGACTGGTATACTATATTTGTCATGAGACTTGTACGACCATATTTATCACCCTTCCTGTACGTCAGCAAGAAAGCTACTGTAGATGTAGTGTAAAAATCATGTAGTAATCTTCGACACTATACATACTATTGCTTCACGCCGAACTCAGTGTGCTGCGACACGACATATGAAGCTTGAAGCTCCAGATAACCACACATATAATACACATGATCGATAAGACTACATACCTAGACAGATATACATACTTCGCAGACTGGATGTGCGACAAGGTAGACGAATGAAAGCATGTATGTAATGAACAAACAACATACAGGCCCGCCTCAACTCCAGGGCCATACTGCTTGAATGCCCCTCGTTGTAAGACTTTGCGCTATCTTTCGCCCAGTCACATCAATCTCGATGACCTGTTGAGAATCGTTTCCTGACACGTGAAACCACGCCTCCCTCGCTCTCTTCAGCCACTCAAAGCCCTTCTCTGGGCCGTAATACGCCGTCACACATTTGCTGGCCTCATACAGGACATTTGCGTACTGGTCCGTCACACGCTCTTCTCGCGCCCAGCGTGCGCAATCCTCCAGATGTTCCAGCGAAATACGGCGGGGCGGCCCCTGCGCCGTCGACATCCTGTTCAGTAGCGAGGTGAGAACCTTGCGGCGCGTGTCGCTTTTCAGACTCTCGTGACGAGGCAAGGAGCACGTCCGACACGTGCAGACAAAATTATACCGCCCACGCAGAAGCGACTGCCTCTCCTCGCGCGGAGCGAGACTGTCGACGTAGCGCACGGTGATTTCCTCCCCCTCCTCAATGTCGTGCATAGCGACGAGCCGTCCACAGCACGTGTTCTCCGAGAAGTGGAAGTGCGCGTTCGGCGTGCAGTCGTGGTTTGCCCGCGAGAGGGTTTTGAAACATGCGATGTACATGGCGCCTGTCCCCCTTAGCTCTGGAAAGTGTGCGAACCCTGCGCTAAATCCATTCACGTTCAAGCGCGCCGATAGCGGGTCAGACCTGAGCTCCTCGACTGAAGTTTCCTCTAAGCCCATGAAAGCCTCGCGCTGGCGCCCTGATAGACTGTCCAAGGCGGCTTGCAAAAATTCGACGTCCCCGTGCTTGTTGGCATCACTCTTGAATAAGCCAAGATGGGCTACAACGATTGGCCTCTCTGAGACGAGAAGCTCCCCAGGCTTGATCGATCTCGTCGCGAACATGCCCAGGCCTCTGTCTGTTGTAGTGCGAATGGAAAACGGACGGACCTCTGGGCTTCCAGGCAGTATTTGCTTGTAGATCGGCGGAAGGTAAGATGCGAGGACTACGCCAGAAAAGAATCTATCGATGATGACAGTGTCCTCGCCGTCTTCCTGGCCCTCGACATGGAGCAAGGACAATTGCATTTGCGCATACCGGTCCCAACAAACGAGGCGGCACGGCTCCGGGAACACCTCGATAGTCTTCTGGCCATCATGGCCACAGGTGACAGCTGTTGTGGCCAAATGGAGGAGCTGTGCGGGAGTAGAGTTAGCATATGGATTATACCCTCTATCTGGCTGAGCCAAATTCCTCAGAATATTCGCGTTGACTTCCGTGATTTCCGGTAGGGGCTCGGCGGGTGACGTGCCATTACCACATGCGGCGGGAACCTCGTACTCGTGATTTGACGTATTCGCGGCGGACACATCCTCCGACCTTCCCGTACGCCGGGCAAGCTCTGCTTCCTGCGGACCCTTTGCCTTTGCCTTTTTCTTCTTCTTCTTGCTTGAGGATTTTTTGCGGCTACCAGCTACCAAGAAGGTGTCAACAATGGTATATCTCCAGCACGTAGCACTTAACACTTACAAGCTGATTGAGCATGATCATCCAAGGCTTGATCACCTGATAGATCTGGATCGCCCTCATCTCTTGCAGTTCTATCGTCAGCGTCACCACTCAGAATGGGTGCAGGCTCATCAGCGACATCGTCGTCGAGAGGATACTGAAGCTGGTCCTCTATAATATCGATAGATGACTCCTCGGTGAATAAGGCAGGTACCTCGTCGTATATATTCACACGCGCCTCTTCCAGAGCGTTAGAGAACTCGGCCTTCGCTGTATCAACAATTTTGTTCTCGGTAGAGACAACAGGTAACATGTTGCGGATGTCGGCAGATACTTCGCTCGAAGCTTCGGCGACGGCACTCTCTACAGCAGTAGCGGATTGATTCTGAATTAAGACGGTGGGTACATCGTCGTCAGCATCCGCAGCGTCATGTTCCAGAGCTTCGGAAGTGGCCTGATCCTCTGAGATTACAGGCATTGGAACAGTCGAAGTCCGGTTCCGTGCTTTGCCCTTGGCTGTTCTGACTTTCTGTTTCCGAGAACTGACTTGCCGGCTCACTATTGCTGTACGTTGACCAGGAAGGGATTGAGCGCCGCACATATACACACCGCGCACTACACTCACCTTCTATAGGAGGTCCTTGGCTGTCCATTGCCCTCCGCAGTATGTCTTCAGCTGTCAGATTACCATAGGCTTTCTTACCCTTCCCAACAGGGATGGTACTCGAAGACGTAGCTTCCACGCCCTCGATGAGAGTCTCGTTGATTTCCTCACCCTCTTGCTCTTGCTCCTTGGCAAGTTCCGTGATGCCATTGCCGGCCATTCGGGATGTACGGTCAAAAACAGCATCTTCATGAATCTCTTCGACCTTGCAAGTGGGTTCGCCTGCACATGCCTCATGAGGAGCCTCAATGAAAATTGGGGAGTTCCAGTTGGAGGACTCATCGTAGTCTTTGAATATATTGTCCACTGGAGCAGCGCGACCGTTCGGTACGATAGCCACATCAGGCGCCGAGGCACGTGACAGTGGCGTAGGCTCATCCTCTGAAAGGCCTTCCACAGACATACACTCCCAATTTTTTGGAAGCTCAGGCTCATACATGGAAACGTCAGAGCAGGACCTGCTTGGGAATAGGTGTAATCGTGCCAAGTGGTCTTTCCCTGTAACATTAGGAAGCGAGTGCCTGCGTTGCGGAGGGGTCGCGTTCGTTGGCCCATGCGGCGACTCAGGTTCTGGCACCTCCATTGAAGAGTCTGCATTGGCCTCCGTGGGCGACCATTCTGTGTCTGTAATCTCAATAATGATCTGTGGAGCGTCAGGGAACGTGTCCTTGGGAAACCTCCAGCCGGCAGGTGCGGGCTCGGGGGATCCGGAGGTTGGGGACCCTTCGTGAGGTGCATCAAATATCGACTTCTCTCTGGCCTTTGTTCGCATCATGATAGCCCTGTATGCGCGATCGTGGAGTGAATCAAGTTCTTTAGCGTGCGCGGAGCTTGACTTACAGATTTGTGGGTGCAAGAGCACCTCAGTCTCCAAAACCAAAAGGATCAGATTTGATGAAAGCTACAGGCGAATGGCGAAGAGATCGAGTGGAGTATACATAAATCGAGTTCAGGGGCCAGCTTCTGAGGATGGCACGTCGAGTTCAGGAGAGCGTCAGCAGAGCAGTACCTCGGCAGTGGGCGCGCGTCGCGTCGTATCACATGCCTCCACTTTGATTTGTGGCAACCAATCACAGAAGAGATCAAGTCTGATTGTGCTCTAATCGTAAACGGTAGACAATGATGCAGAACACTATACCGTGCTTGTAAATGATACCTATCACTCCATGCTAACTCTCTAGTGCCTTGCAAGGACTCTTTCAAAGGGGTACGGTGGGTCACCATTTTCTCCCTGCAAAAGCCTTTCTGCGCGCCGTTGCACCTGCGGAACATGCCGCAGACCCTGCCAGGAGAGGAGTGCATCCGCTTCCATAAGAAGTTCCACATCTTTTTCCATGATGTAGAGTAGCGGATTGAGGAGCTCATTATTGGCGGGCTTGTAATTGGGCGAGTACGTGTCAATTACCCAGCGATACAGCAGCCGAGACTGTTCCCGGGTCATTTCGCCTTCGACGGCAGATTTGCTGGAGCAAGGGGTGTGTCAGTGAAGGGGATGGGCGAATGGGCGAACGGGCGAAGACATACACTAGATCACAAACTTCTATGTGCTCTTCCAATGTTATTTCAGTATTTATTGGAGGCGAAATAATTTCATCAAGGCTGAAAGCAAATCAGTTGGTACCGGGTAAGCAGATAAAGCCAGCATGGACTACATACTCAGATCTATATGCGACCCAGGTGATGGGGTCAGAAGTCATTTGGACCGTGTTGAGATTCATCGCTTGAGCTGCTGTGGGTTCAGTGTGTCGAAATCTTGAGGACGTGAATGCCCTCTTATATTGATTATGTACGCCACAATGTTGAAGTATGGGAAGCACCGCGGGATGCCGCGTTGCTTCTTGTGGCGGAAGGCCATCGTCATTGGCTTGCATGTGGAGGTCAATGCCATGTTACCAAATGAAAATAGCCACAAATTAGGAGGTCATCAAACAGCCACCGTGAAGATGTGGCGTCAGGAGGCTCGGCTGACACGATTGTGGTGGCTTTGTTTGAGAGAGGCTTTGATAACAGCCACAAGAAGCAAAGGAGAGCAGTGCATTTGGGGATTGTGGGAATGTACTGGGTTAATGCGTCGACGGACGATCACGATCCAATCAAAGCCATTAGCCAATAGCCTGACTCTCCTCGCGATTTGTGTGTGAAAGAGGATGCTATAGGTGCCACTCAACTATATATGGCGTAGTTCCCAGTTAGCTCAGGAGCATATGTATCTGCCACTGTTGGGCGTAGAACGTCGAACGTTCGACCGGCAGGTACCCACGGCGAACCCTATTGTATCAGCGGCGAGGCAATGAAATTTAGGACATTCGGGTCTATATTATGAGGCAATGACCGTCGATCCATTGGGGAGTCAGGAAACTCGAGAAGCAGTGGATGCAGCGTCAGCACTCCCAACGACAGGAACGATGTGATTGGAGGCAACAGGTAGCAACAGAGCAGGAGTTCAATTAGAGCCCATCCGTCGAGCTGTTGTTACTCCACATGCGCCTCCGCTGCGTGGAGTATGGACCGTAGAATTCAGAGTTGAAGAAAAGACCGTTGATCAATTGTGCATGTTGGATTAAAATTCAGAGCCACAAGTCCGAGCGCCGGGCCCTAATCCAGATTCCCGCCGTGGGAGTCCCACATAGAAACATTCTTCTGCAAAAGGGCCGTGCACGTCACATCACAAGTCGCACCTTTCTAACTCATCATCGCCGTCGTTGACCAGTTCCGACACCTTATGGAAAGGTGTACAACTCGACGTGTAACGACGGCCCCGCCCATCGTGTATCACGTAAAGAGCATTGCGCCTGTCATCGCCACATGCTGGACGTTGTTCATCTTCTACTGCCAGGACGCTGCAGACGAGTCTATAGTAGATTTCATTTCTCGGCACCTCGTAGCGATGTCTTGAAGATTATGGCTTACTCTTGACTGAGCCATTGAAGCCAAACGTAACGAGAGTGAGCTTCGAGATAGAAAAGAGCATAAGGCTTGCGATGCGGGCGATGCCACCAGTTATAGCAAGAATCGTGATTTTGAGTTGTGGCGGCGCGATTCTTGTGCTGGGAGCCAGACCGCGTAAAGAATGGAAGCAGATCACCGCACTTTATTTAGATTAAGCCTAAATACACGCTTCAAGCCTACCATGAGGTGGCACCCTAGGCCTCTCACCGGGATTTCCTCTTTCCATCAAAAAGGGAAGTCGAAGTGGGGCATCGAGTCGCGTCACATCACGTGCAGATTAAGGGCAGGCATCGTGACGCCTGTGCAATTTCTTTGCAATCTCATCGAGTCGTGTCTTCACTGACTCTTCTCCCACAACTCCAAGGTATCCTCAATATATGTCCGTTCCTTTCTCGTTTCCTCTCAGTCTGCTCTGTTCCCAGCTAGCCACTAGATCATCTGCGATCCATGTGGCCCTTCTTCTCCTAGCCCAATACAAACCATTCGCTTTAGCCTAGGGACATGGCTTTCTCTGCCTTCGTCTCCTTTACTAGTGACGTGGAAGAAGAAACCTGCTCGATCCACACTTGACTTTCTTTCATCATCCGTGGATTCTCGAGTACTAAGTCGCAGCTAACATTCGTGATTCGCGTCATCGTTGCAGTACGTCCTGTACATTCTCCAAATTTGAATGCATCGTCAGTCTGCCTCGGTGCTGCTACAGTCACCTGCCCCTGTGAGATTCTTGCCATGAGGTTGTGCAGTATATGCAGGATAGGTCCTTGATCGCCAACATAACGGTAATTCAATTTGTCGTAGTCTGGCGCTGCCTGCTGTCGACATTCTCCATTCTCAACTCTCAGCCCACAGTCCAATCTTTCGATAGAAGCATCTAACGCCTGACTGCCCTGCGGCTGCTTGTGGGCCCTCCATGCGAACAGGTGACGGGGCCTGGGCATTCATATACTGTGTTCGATTGACATGCGTCCGTGAAGGTTGTTATATTGCCTGATAGCCTAGTTTCTATATATATATATATTACTGCCCTGCGATAGCACAGCAGAGTCAATCTGGCATGATGGCCTCCCATACAGTTGAAATCGCTCCTGGTATTCATCAAATAGTGCTCAATTTCTCAGAGCATACGAGTGAAATCGCACAGCTGCGTACTTGCATCGAGGCTCTCGAGGTGAGCCGATAACTCATGAAGTCTCGCGTATCTGACATGTTGTGAGGCTCGGAACGTGAGCTTAGGTGCAGAGATAGCGGCCCTTCAAGCGATCTGTGACATTGTCGTGGTCAGTAGCTCTGATGGCACACTTTAAGTTAGCTTCACGAGCATCTAGTCACAGCGATCTGCCGTGCAAGCTCCTGCCGAAGTTGATGGAAGCAACAGCAATCATTCTGTTGAGCAACGGGAGCCCATTCCGAATGTAATCGCAGGGGTTACACCAATCTGCAGTGGGTTGGTAAAGCCCGGCCGTTACATGCAATCTCTGAAGCCGGTACGTGGTTACTCGGTATGTTACATGCAGTGTCTTATAAGACACGTATCGCATGCGTCAGGCATTGTGAGTATATCGGTGTCAGCACATTACAAGACAACTGTGCTAATTGCATGACACGTTCCCTTAGCAAACGAACAGTTGTAACGGTCCTGAAGGACGAGACCATTTGGGAAGATTTTCCCGAGGTCGGATTCTCTATCAAGCCCTCCCTGATACGGACAAAGAAAGGGAATTGGCTAGGATGCGAGAGACAGAAGCTGCTTCGTCCCCAAAACGAGCTGATCGCGTGTTGGGACGGGCAGTGGTGCTATCTCGGGACTTATGCAACGTCGCCGCCCGAGATGTTGTCTGCCGAGGAGTTTGCAGCGCTACCAGACATGGTTTGTCCCTCTCTCTTCTCGTTGCCCGTCTATCATCCACATATGAGCGTTGAACAGACCCGTAAAACGGTTATTGCCCAGTCGGGCAACAAGCGCTACCACAGAGAATTACGGGCGATGTATGCGACGGGCGAGCTTGTAGCGCGAAAGATTAGGTTCCGGCGCGTGGGGTACAACGTGAAGTACGGTCAGGCCCTAGTCGCGATCGCGAACCAGGAGGAAGTAGATGCTGGACTCGTGCACACCGGTTCTGGCATGACGTCAGCTGTGGCTGATGATAGCGACGATGCACCTATGTCCGATTGAATGGACGGCGAATATTAGTACTAACGGCGCCACACCTTTATCTCTGCAAGCAAGTCAATGTTCGTGAGCTGTATGAGCGTCGATTCCGCGGACATCTGCATATCAGATACATCCGAACGAGCATGTGCGATTCTGCTATAACTGGTACGCAGGACTCTTATCTTGTTTCTGCCTCATGGCATCGGCTGCGGTCTACGGATGACCTACCTCGTGCAAGTCTTCTTTCTTCCTTTTTTCCTCAATTGCTCCGTGAGAACAGAAGGCTGATCTCATTGACAGATATGGGGCCACCCTACATATACTGTGTTCATATGGTTTTCTCAGCTGTCGACCCGCCGTTAGCTCCTTGACCCTGGAGAAGCGGACGCGCTTGAGTAACCCCGTTCGTCAGTTGTGCAAGAACTCAGCTGCTGGTCGAGTTTACTCTCTCGCTCAATCGCTTCGGCGCATCGCACTCGCGCGCTCCCACACGTCGCCATCATGGTGCATATCCAAGCGTCCCATGAAGTGTCTGCTCTTGATCTGGTCGCGGCGCAAACAAGTGAGATAGGAAAGGTCCGCAGTGAGCTTGAGGCTTTGAAGGTGTGCAGTAATCTCGTATGCACAGTGAAGTAACAGAACCAACGTTGTATCCAGACACAGCTAGATGAACATGTTGCAATGCAGAACGAGCATGCCAATACCGAGGTATTACGTGAAGAGATACAGTCGCTCCTTCGACTCGTGGGTGAAATACTTGTGCGTGGTGCTACTGATCTGATGTGTTTGGTATCATTAGCGCGGACGCGAAGATCAAAAGCAGCTGGACAGGCTTCAGAAGAAGCTCATGGAAGCTGAGGTAGGTTGAGACATGTGGTCTATGCGATAGGAACGCATGCTAACGTGCTGCAAAGGTGAACAAGGCCGGACTCCGACAGCAACTGACTGAGGCAAGGAATGCATTGTGCGAGGCCATAGTGGGTGTGAAGTTTATCTAGATGCGCCGCTTACCTTTGCTTACGGCATTGGCAGTCACAAAGAGAGCAACTTATTGCGGAGTATGGGCAGGCTTGCGAGGGAAAAGAGTCACTTCTGGACGAAGTGAAGGCTGTAAAGGTGATTCAGACAACGAGCACCTTTTATCTTTACATGATCTTGCTACACAGGCCAATTCTGAGATCGAGCGCGACGCATTCATCAAGCAGTTAGCCGAAGTAGAACAATCTCTGGCCTCCACGAACGCGCAGTTGGACGACATGCACGAATATACAATAACTCTGCAGGTTGATGGGCCTTAATTTGCCTCGAAGAAGTCCTAACAAACTCCCACAGAAAGACCAGGAATGGTACGAGAAAGAGCTTACTCAAAGTTGCGAGACTATCTCTACCCTTTTGCGTGAGCTGTCGGAGCAAGAAGTGAGTTTGGTGTGCACGAAGTCGTCCGTGAGATGTATACGATCACTATGCACAGGAAGTTTGCCGTCGCTCGCAAGACGAGTTAGCGGCTGCTCGGACAAGAGGCTCTGGTCTCAATCGCTGGTTGCTTCATTCCACACAAGCAGATCTCGGGAGGGTCCAGGTGGAGATCGCCATATTGTCTATAGCCGTACGCAACCGTTAATCCGTTACAGGAAAGAGACACCGTGCTTGAGGCGGAACTTGCTCAAGTCGTGAACGAACTATCGGAATGCCGCATTGAATTAGCTCGCCTTGGGGTGTGTTCATTTCGCGACATGATAGGTCTGCTCTGATCACGCTCTAAGTCGCTGCACGAGAAAAACGCTCAAAACGCACCTCTATTCAATGGTTCTGGCACCGATGAGATACTCTGCGAGACCTGTGCAAGCGGATCGGTCACACAAGATTCTCAATTTTCTGTAGCCCCCGAAGGTACCATGGAGAATATTTTCAGAGCATTGTCGAGCAGGTTACCCGATCTTGAAGACGTGAGAAAGGTCAGGAGGTGTTCTCGTTGCGCTCTTTCTCATGGCTGACGCATGTTGAACAGATTTTGTGAGCTCGTTTCATTCCTCTAATCCCTGCACCTCGTTCCTTATTGCTTCATGGTTGCTCGCAGTGATATACGAAGCATTGGCATCGTGACGGCGGATGAGTTCATATGGGCACAATGCCCCGACTTGGCCTTCTTCGTTAAGCCCGCCCAAATTCTTGGCAAGAATGGTGCCTGGAAAGGGTGCGGGAACAAATCAATTAAGAGACTTCAAAAGGAGGGCGCTGCTGAGTTGATTCCGCATTTCTCCGGCGCATACTACTACGTTGGTTCTTACACCGTCGGCAAACAAGAGCGCTTGACGCTTCAAGAATTTGAACAGCTTCCGGAGAAGGTGAGTCTCGCCATTGAGAACAGTTACCTCGCTGACGATTCATATGCGGTTTAGATCCAACGGCACCTCATCATGTCGTCGGGGAAGCCCAGCAAGTATCATGAATTACGAGAGATGTATTTTAGTGGAAGACTGACCGCCTTCAAGTTCTCCGTCCGCCGTGTCGGATTCAACAGCAAGCTGCACGAGCGTCTGCGCCAGCTGGCATAGTAGTGTTCAGCACTCGAGTATCACACTGTACATAGTGTCAGAGTGAAGCTATGACCAGAGCAAATCGAGCAGCGATCTTCCCGGTTTTTAATAATGCATCCGCTCTTCACATTATTCAATCGTGGGTCGTGACGTCGCGCGCTGCGCAACTACACATATTGTACTTTGGCAGATGAGACTGCCAGGAACCGTTGAAGCTTGAAGTGTCGGTGCCTTCTGAATCAATGCGACGAACCGGGAAAGCGGGGTGCCCTGGGGATGATACTGCCATTTGGGTAATCGTTCGGGTCTCAGGGGCGACCTATCTATGCTTATCTGCAGGATATTGATTTGACACGGTCGCGCCTTCTCTGATACGTCCTTGTCCCATCGGTTGATCGTGCAGATGTGTCACGTAGGTACAGCGGCGAAACAGACATCCTGACGAGAGAACGGTCCAGTATCAAGATTACGATAAGGCTGAAGGCTGAGCAGACACATTGAAACACAGCTATGTGCGCACGAGTCAGTCAAGAGCCGGAAATTGGAGGTTTGCGAGGGAGCGTGCAGTACACCGTTGCCATTATTATAGACGCCTGTCAATGAGTGACGACGGAGGTTCAGCGCTCAGCGCTCATGGCACTGCCGCCGGCGCCCAGCGGCGAGTGCTTCATACAAAGTTCCTGTAAGCGATGGCTGAGCTGAGCTAAAATTGTTCGAACCTGCATGTCCTCGCTGCGAGACGACAACCGGTGCCAAACAAAATGCCCGCAAATCCAATACCGCTTCTGTGAGTACACGGTGTTACCTTCATACTCCATCTAATGAAATTGATGTTGGAATGAAGTGCAGGACCTCAGGTAGTCATTATCACTGGCGTCATGTGATAGAGTTCTCACCGATGGGCCCAATATCAGCTATTGGGTTTATGCTTGAACTGGGCATTATTCGCCACGGTAAACATACAAGCATGTAAGCAGTGTGCTCTATGAGAACCACATTCATGTTTGACTATTCTCGTTCTATAGACAGGTACCACGAGAGCTTCCCTTCCGACCCATTGCGTTTCAAATTCCTAGGTACGGGACGCATCTCTGCTCAAGTTTGACTGCAGGTTCTTGATGTCGACACTGGTGGCTTTAGTGTGCGGTGTACTTCTACATGAGTGGATCCAGACTGGCTTCATCACTGCAAACAGCATGGAAATGTTCGTGTACGGTTATGGTGACCCATCTTCCTTGATCCGATTTCACAGCGGATGGTTCTCGGTAACGATCATGAGTGGTATGATCTCAGTGATGGTACAGACCTTTTTCGCATGGAGGGTCTACAAGTTCTCCATGTCCCGATTGTGGGGAGGAAGCATCGTTTTAGTATGTGACTGTCATACAACTTGAGCCATGCATTCATGTTCAACTGCATAGCTAGCCGTGTTTCAAAGCGTTGCCGCCTTTGTTTGTGGGGTTATGGTGAGGCTCCTGGGTTCGGCTCGTACGTTTCTAACAGAAGACCTCAGCAACGTTCGACCGGATTCGCAGCCCACATTCAAGGAAAGCTGTTGACCGTCTCTGCCGTGCGTCTCTGTGTAGCTCATGCCACAGCGGTACTGAAAACGTTGCAGGTCTGGCTCACTGGAAGTTCAGCTGTAGACATCATAATCGCCATATCGATGACTACTCTAGTACGTGGTGCAGCTTTGACGCGATTCTCCGCTCACTGCAGAGGGGCATTCATAGCTTCTCCGAAATAGAACCGGAGTTCCGCACACAGATGCCCTCATTCACTGGGTAGTACTACTTGTCGTGGAAACCGGAACGTTAACAGGTGCGGATAGGTCTCTAGTAGGTTCCCGAACTACTAATCTTCCTCCTGAAGCGAGTATGGCAGTCCTTGTTATGATACTCTCGGAGGTTCATTCTGTACGTCTTTTCGCGACTTCCGTCACTATACGACACCCAAACGACCCACAGCTGCGCGAAACAATGGTATACTCGACTATGTAAGCTCGGGCTCAGAGCAAATGTTCCTTCTCCTAATACTTAACATTGCAGTGTTCAAAATTTGACAAAGTTGTAAGTTGGCCAGCCATGATATATCCTCACTTACTGTCACGGCTGCAATGATCCGCAGCTATGCCATCACTTTCTTGACCAACCTCAATAGCCGCGTACGTTTCAGGAAACGTATGGAAAGGGACCTAGTTGTGGACCTTTTTCCTATGAGCCTCAAGTTCGCTTCTGTCTCGGCAGCTCTTTCCGACGAGCCTTATTCAGAACCCATGCAGCATCCAGATGAGAGTATGGCGTTATTGGGAGGGAGCACACCTAGCACAATAAAAACAGGACAAGTGGTACGTCGCTGGCTGCACTATTTCTGACTGACGATGAACGGGGTGTATTGCATAGCGTCAGAGACGAAATACAATAGTGTAAACTTGTACACATATGAAGATGTGGCGTATAGCGTGTTAGGTGTGCACCTTTCCTATGTGGAGGTCGCTAATACTCACTCGAGCTTCCACTTGCCAGATTTGTGGCAGAAACGGCGACGAGCATACGATAATAATTGCCTTGGACGCTCGCAAAGAGTAGTAGCGACGATGATTGCATCTGACTCTTAGCTGCTCTGATCTAAGATCATGTATAACTCTTGCTGCGCGAATCCTTGCGCAATGTTGTTTCTACGTTGAGTAATCGGTGTTCCTGCCCGGAGACTAAATACGGATTGAACGAGCTCGGCTGGTACTGTCTTGCAGGCCTCATAGTGATGGGAGAAATTCTGAACTCGACTGCTGTTGTATCAACACCTGACCTGAGCGTCTGGCATAGTGCCTCGTGTCGGGCATGCGGCAGGGCTTCTTGAAATATCCAATTACAGTGGTTGTGCTGACGCGCTTTATTTCTCGTTACATGTCTCATTCCTCGGACCTGCAATTGTTAGTAAAGTACAGGTAACGAGGACGGGTGATAGAGCAAGTGCCAGTGTTGCATCAGATTCGAGAACAACCTCAGCCGAAGACAGCTCAGATGGAGCGTACCGCAATGGATCCGTTGCCGACAACCGTAATGCATGATTTACTGGTCATGCAAGGTTCGGAGATTGCTCGGCTTCGCGCGAAACTTGAGACCTCTGAGGTGAGCAAGATGTACTAGGTTTTTGATCGCCAGCTGTCGCTCAACGAACGCATTTATAAGTCCGATAACCAGCGATTGAAAGAGGAATACTTTCGGCTCCAATTGAATGGTCTACAAGAGGAGCTGCGTGACTCGAAAAGTGTGCAAAACGTACTGAAAGCAAGGGTCAAAGACCTCGAGGTAAGTCGATCATTGACCCCTCACGTCGGCCTGGTTCCGATCGCCAATTGCAGGTCGAGAAAGCCGAACGCGAAGCAGTGAATGCACAGAAAGGGCTGATAACCGCCTTGACGGATCAACTCAGGCTTCTCAACGAGAAGGTACGTCCGAATATGCTGAAGTCTGATACCTCAGCATCAAATCTACTCAGACACTCCGTCAGGAGGCTCCGCTAACAACATCTGAAGACGAGTTGCTGGTTCTTAAGGTATAGGGGTTGGATCTAGCACATCGCGCGCTCATGGACCCTCGATGTGCATCTACAGCACGAGAACGATCGACTGCAAGAAAAGCTACATGAGGTTGAAGCCAAACTTGCCGTGAGACATTCTTCTTGTGTTTTCGCCCAGGAGATATGGCTGATATTCTATTTTTGCACAGGAAAATGACGAGCATAAAACCGAGCAGCTGTCTCGTGCACTGCTGAAGGAGACTGAATATATCAAACGCATTGAATTGCTGGAGGTCGGTAATCGCGTTATTCTCCTGCTTAACAGTGTAGCAGGTCAATCAATACTCCTCAGGCGTCTTGTGAAGCTCTACGACAGGAAAACGAGATGGAACGATCCATAATACGCATTCGGACAGAGTTGGATGAGTTGCGATCGCACAAAGTAGGCACCCAAGGAAAGAATGTTATCAATACGGTGTGTGGTCGCAGTATCTCTTCAGCGCTCCAATACTCATCAATCGGTCCTGCGTGCTGTGTGCGCAGGAAAGTTTGACGCGCATTGAGAATCTATCCTCGGACTCGCTGCAAGGAAAAGGGAAGCAGACAAGGGAAGAAGAATGGACAGGAACTCCGTCATCCGGGTTTGAGCTCAGTGAGGTGCAGCTGCTGTATAGACCACGACTTGTGAGAATTGCTGACATCTTCCATTGTGATATGGAGGCGATTGTACGATCGCAAGGAATCACAGACGTTCTGGGATCACGTCCTTGCATTCCAGATATACGTACCGACGGCAAGAATATGGCGGCAGTTTCCCCAGGATCCGAAGGGAGTCTAGAAAATTTCAACGACCTGACCCACAGTACTGTACCGTTTGATGCCTACACTAAGTTTTTTCTTCCACTCGGAGAGTCCTGGAACTCTGTACAGAAAATCCAAATGGTCAGTGCCATGTATCTAACTGCAATTGCAATTGATCGAGAACTTTGTGACAGGGTCTAGGCGTGTCAGTTGTTGTGATTTGGGCTGGTGTAATGAACCTGATCATGGCAACATAGGGAGTCAAAGAATATCCGGATAACTGTTGAAAGTCAAGGCAATTTCGTATGGACCTCATGTCCAGAAGCGGGATATTTCGTCTTCGCAGAGAAGTACATGGGATCCGACAACGACTTCACTCCATTCAAACATAAAGCGATACGTCAAAACCAGGCCGCCGGAAGAGTAGAGCTGTTTTTCGGCCCGAATCCCATGCGCGCATACTACGCCGGGTCCTACGTCATCGAGCATCCCGAATCGCTTGACGTTGGTGCATTTAAGATGCTGCCGGAACCGGTCAGTATCGGGCTTGAGCTAGTGCCACGTCGCTGATGTAGAGCACTAGGTGCAGAACGCTCTAACGAAAGCTTCAGCATGCGGAAAGCAATCAAAGCTTGATCAGGCGCAAACAATGTACCTAAGTGGCGAGCTGAAAGCATTGAAGTATACAACGCGACGCACGGGATATCGCGCAGAATTCGATGCCTTCTTAAAAGCGTCACAGGCAGATCCGGAGGAAAAGGAGGAGTAGAGACTGGTGTGCCGTGGGCGACTTGATCGCTCGCTCAAGTGCCTCTGTTGCATATGTTTCGTGCACATGCTAAACGGCATGCACCCTTGACACAGCCTAGTCCACGGAATTCATGTCATATGGCTACTCATCGTTTCCGGCGATATTGTCCTTGTCATGGCGTGAAACCTCGAGCTTCGTGAATGCCTCGTGGTCTTCGTGAGGCAAGGCATGTGAGTCCTTGACTGTTCGTGCCGAGATATCGGGAGGGCCTTCCGCAACGCTTATCGCTCCCCTAACGCGTTGAGAGGACATCCGATTTAGCAATCGTCTCACCTTCGAAGTACCCACATACCATGGCCATCGTTTGATCCAAGCAGCCTGACGCGTTTTGAGAGACGCAGGACTGACAGGCCCATGAGTTATCTCACTCGAACAGCGGTCAGAGCACGATTGGGAGCCATAGCGTAAATCCTCTTCAACGAGGAGGCCAAAGACACGAGCGTCCTAGATACCATCAACAGCGACGTATCCGTCAAAGTGCAGCCTGACGGAACGAGATAAGCTTGCCGGCTTTTCGCTTCTATACTGTTCGAAACAAACACCGCCTGGTCTTGCATTATTTCCTCTCGATTGGGTACAATAGTAATATATCTTGCATGAGCAGTTTAAAATTGACTGACTCTCTATATGCTTGTGAAAGCGGTTGCATACTCGCGCTGTCTCGCAATATAATGGCCAGTGAATGAGAGTAAAGCAGGAAGACGACAAGACGGCGGTCATGGACTAACAAGTACAAACGAGCAGGTCACCCGATAAGGCAAGCCTGTAACCTTGGCGGCTTGGCCCTTAACGCCGAGAAGAAGTCGACCCAATCTTCTGCATTTACTATGGTTTACCAGTGGATGGCCCCCCCTCTCGATGGCCAGGTTTGTGATGTGCAACAACTGGGCACTGCCCTGCCCTCGAAGTTATATGGACACCTATGTTCTCGTATGCCTGCTTCCACCTCCAAGTGAAATCAGAGCGGATGAGTCGTTGAGGAGTCCCTTCTTTCGAGGGGTTTGACGGCGATGTCACGCCCGAGAGCACGATGGCCACGGCGGACGCGAGCGGATTTACAAAATGAACCTGTCGATCACCATGGAGCCACACGCCACTGAGTAAAAGTTCAGTCCCCGGCCCTGTGAGCCGAGCTGACCTCTGAATCGGCATTGTCACATTGATGTGACGAAGTGTTACCTGGCCATCAAGAGGGGGGCCATCCACTGGTCAACCATAGTACTTCCTCACTGTCGCACGAGAACATCTGAGAACATAAGCAATAGCTTATCAGTCGCATGTGGTCTGTGCAAGGTAAGACGTCATCATGTAGTTCCTGCTGAATCTAACACAAGTAGGGCAGACCGACGCAGCGCATTGTCGGTCAGCCACCTAGCTATGCTCATAACATTAATGTGTTGATAGATCCTGCATCTCGAACAGGCGCCCGAAGCTCATCCGCGGCTCTGATTATCACATGTTGCGACTGGTTCTTTGCTATTTGCCTCGGGGCCTTTTGGCCATTGACTAAGACCACAAGCATAACATCAAGGCTTCAACTCGTTGACGCAATCAGACGCCATCAACACAGCCTCCAGCTTTAAGGCTCAAGCTCCAGGTCGCCTATCTCTGATTCTCATCCTTCACTTTGAAACTGTAACCTTATGCTCTCCTCAAAGCTCAAGAAGTAATCCCGTTTGTACGTGGTAGATCATTACTCCTTGCCTCATACTGATGTCTCACAGACCAATGGCCATTCTAGACGAGGATACTCTGGCCATTGTGGTCTCCTATCTCACCGCCAGTGATGCGCGCTCGCTTTCTGCCACTGCTAGACAGTTCCATCCAGTAGCGAGGCGCAAGGTGCTCGCCACACTTGAGTTGAAGGAGCCCAAGCGGGCCCACGGAAACCTAGATTTCAGGCTTGCCGACGGACCTAACCGAGCATACTGGCTTCGAGAGCTCAAAGTGAACATCTCTAATCTAAATGCGATCATTGAGCTTGCCCCCAAACTGGCTCGATTATTCGAACATGCCCATATCCTTCGATCTATCTATCTGAGCTCTGCGGAGGCTTGGATATACACGGAACCGCACCCGCTGGAGCAGCTTGAGGGAGTGGACGACCTCGAGCTATATGGGTACGACCACCGAACGCTCGGCATGATCCAGCGGATGGCCAGCAAGCCTCGCCGGCTCGTCCTCAGGGAGCAGCAGCCCCGTTTCAATTCCATCGCGACCACGACAACCCGCGTTGACTTTACGCACATCATGCAGAGCCTCGCGCCGCAGCAAGCCCTGCGGACGCTCACGCTCGAGATGGGGGGAGGAGTAGCCGGTGCACGGCTGCCCGATGTGGGTACCCAGTGGCCGAGCGTCACGCACCTCGACCTCTCCGCGCGCGTGGACAATGCACCGGACCTCGACGAGCTTGTACACATGTTCCCGCGCCTGCGCAGCATCCGCTTCAGGGCGCCTAACGTACCTAGCTATGCGCTTAGCCATTCACCTGGTCCGAGCCGGACGTGCTGGGAAGTGCTTGACTACGTGCACGGGACGATCGTGCAGATGCGCTTCTGGAGTGTTGCATGCCCTGTGCATCACCTGAACACCTGGATATACATCCCACTGCGCGACGGGAGTAGCACCGAACATCGCGTTGCGCTGTCAGCAGAGCCGACGCTCGAGGTGTTACGGCGTACGAGCCCTGTCGTGCTGACTGTCGACAGATACACGGCGATCCGTAACTTTGGCACGGACGAGGATCAGTGGAGGGGTGTGCTGGAGGCCACGCCGCGGCTCCGTGTCCTTACTATGGCCTTGACTAACTTCACTCTGTCAGGGGTAGAAGAGTGGCTTGTACGCATGCACGCAATCAGGTCAAATGCAAGTACTGACAGTGAGTTCCAGGAGAAGGTCGTAAACGTTTTGAGCCGATCACGTCTACTCTGTATGCTCCTTTGGCTGGGGGACGACGAGGATCACAGTCCAGATGCCGTGGCAACTCGCATCGCAGACGTAATCCCCTCGATGCGATACATCGTGCTCACTCGGAAGCCTTTGAATAAGCTCCAGGAGGATCTGCAACATCCGTCTCAATTCTGCGGGACGACTGAGTGGAAGTGGTGGAGAGTTGTCGACACAGAAGGGAGGCGATCACTGGAGAGTGTCTCATTTGATGTAGGAGTCCGAGTGGCGACGTATCTTTACTCTCCGGAGTACGATTGCAATAGTACGTTTAAGGGTGAGCACCTCTCTTAGTGTGAGAGATCCACTTACACTAATCTCATCCCGATAGATCCCTGGTTCAGATAGAATAGGACATGACATCGCTAGCCCATTGGCTGGTGGGCTCAGCACGGTTACAGATGTGTACTTTGGCAGCGGCCGATTAAGATTGCTAGCAACATTGACCTGCGTAGCTGCTCCTACACGAATCTAAGCTAAGTCATTCTCCCAATAACTCACTATATCGTGTTGCACCTCAGGTCAAACGTCGGTATTACTCCCACAAAGTTGGTGTGGACGGTGCATGTGCAGCGATATCTGATACTGACTCATGTTACGGCCTAGCAGTGCTTGACCGTGTGGGCACTTGTCGAGGGCACCCAGCGAACTTCCAGTAAAACCTTTGCGCTCGACGAACGTCTTGTGCCTAGATATTACAAAAGCATAACAAGCAACGGTCTACCGTATATACCTGATATCCGGGTAGAATGTGTACCTCCACCCCTGTATGCACAGACAGGTCTGACATAAAGTACGATATGACCACCGCATTGTTTCCAGAGAGATCATCATTACAGATTCGTTGTCTGCGGCGACTTGACCAAGTGCTTGAGGTTGGCGTTGTAGCCAACACGCAAAACGGGATATGCCAGAACGGTCGACTCGCCACGCAGATACATTGCCCTCGTCTCCTCATGCGGCAAGTCCCAGGAAAAAGATATCTCGACAATATTCTTCTGGATCTGACGCCCACAGATATTAGTCGGTCCTTCACCAAAACCATATCGCTCACCTCTTCGGAAAGAAGCTCGAAAGCTTCTGCGCTCAGTTCCTCAGGTTGATCGATAATATAAGACCCGGTATACCAAAGGTCGTCTCCGAGAATTCCATTTCCCGACTTACAGAAGAGTTCCGCCGCGTCCTTATGTGAACATAGTCCCCAATTCACCGGTCGTATGAATATACTCGGTGAGTTAACAAGTTTTGGCCTGAAAAGGTATCCGGAATACGGAGCTTGACACCACATGAAGTCTTCCGAGTTGAGGAGATACATGTCGTTGGTAATGTGCTGGCTGCAGAGCATGAGATTCAGAGCACAAACACCAGATAATCGCGCAAATGACTCACTAGAACTGAAAAAAGTGGCAACAGTCAGTGACAACTAACTCAACGAAAACGCGGATAAGAGTATAGAATACCTTCTTGGTTGTACCGTACGGTGAAAACGTTCCCTTGAAAATATCGAAAGGAGGAGCCCCGCTTTTGAGCAGGCTCATCAGGCTTGGGGGCTAAAGGGAAGAAATAGCCAGCTTGGAGAGACCAGCCAATAGGTGAGCCATAACCTACCTCCGAGGTAGACGACTCCTTGATGAGTTGTACTCCCTCACTCTACGAGCCATGCATCAAATGACATGCAAGCACAATTGAGAAAAAGCGCACCTCGAGGTGCTTCATATGTAGTTCTCTGCCATGAATGCGTGCTGCCAGCTTCTGCACATCCACCTCGGGGTTCTTCTATCAGCACTTCAGTAACCGCTACCCGTTGGAGCATAGTTCATATTTGCGCACTTTAACTTCGGCCTGTATCACAGCAGCATCCCGAAGCTGCATACGAAGTTGGTCCCGCTCACTCTGAAACCCCCAGCATGAGCGACGCTCAAAGGGTCCAAAATTGCATACCTACTTTGACGGCCTCTAGTTCAGTCTGGACATTCACACAAGCGTTTGTAGCTGAGGATAGCAAGTGCTCTTGTCAGTACTGTCTTGCATGCGACGTATCTTACGAACGACGGAATCACCTTCTCGACTGTTTCCCGCAGTTCTCGCTTCTTCTCGCTTCTTTCGGCATCCAGCTGTTCTTCGAGTTTGCTCAGTGCACGTTCAAGCTCAGACGGCTTATTTGACAAAGCAGTTAGCCATTGCAGAACATAGTCAAGGAACGGTGTCGCTCACTTCCGTGTCTTGTCCTTTCTTCATTGTTGATATGCAGTCCTACGTCCAGAAGCGAGTCGTGCAAAAGTTCCAAGCTTCATCCTGACAACTCACCAAGTGTTGCATCTTCAACTCGGAAAGTTCAGTCCTGAGGCTTATTATCTCCGCCTGAGGTAGCGGCCACAATGTATCATCAGAAAGAAAGCTGCCTAAATGTGAACAGCATACCGAGGACTTTTCCTGCACGGCACCGAGATCGGCTCGGATATTATTTGCGTGAATCTATGGTAGGGACATGTGAACAGCGGTAATATGGATGGCAAAGAGGGTTGTTGCCTCTTGTGATAACTTCAAGTCCTTGACCGCCTCCAGTATATTGCTCATGGAGGCATTATGTTCTTCGCCACGTAAACGCTCATTCTCTCGCTTGCATCCATGCACGCGTGAGCTGCGTGGGAGAGCTTAGAGCGCAAACAGAGCGCACCTGGGTACTCTCAAGTTTGGCGCGAAGTGTGGCGATCTCTGCTGCCTGCTGGGCGAGCAGTTCATTGACCACGGTGGCTGGTGACGGCATTGAACAAGCCTCCAATTCACTGGTGTTCGCGCGCATGGCTATATGAGCAGGGATAAAACAGTACGCTAGCTCTACTGCCAGAAGTAAGAGAATTGCTCAGGATTAATATCAAGGACTCGTGTACTTAAGGTGTCACAAGTTGAGTGGACTTCCAAGTTGGAGTGGCGCTACAGAACGTCACATTGTGTGACACAATACAGTCCCCTCTTTGGCGCTGTCACGCTTGGGAGGTCGACTTCTCTTGGCCCATACCTATGTTCGACACAATACGTTCACGACTAACGACCATCTGTCCTAGACAATTTGGAGAGTAGCTCTGCGCCATGTCGTCCTTTTTCCCTTACAGCCAGCCATCCTTACCCGATTTACTCATCATCGCCTCATTTATCTATTTGCTGAACGTCGTCCGAATTGCTGCAGACCTTGCACTTCATGCAGGCATCGTTGCCGAGCTGTTCCTCGGCATGGTGTACGGCTCCCCACTGGCTGGTATTCTGCCTTGGAGCTGGGAAACGACGTTCATCGTTATGGGATACCTGGGTCTTGTACTTATTGTCTTTGAAGGCGAGTTTGCAAATTATTTTTTTGCGAATCAGGCGGTTCGTTGTCTGAAGATGTTGACGTCCACAACCAGGTGGGCTCTCGAGCAACTTACCTGTTCTCCTATCCAACCTACCGCTGTCCTGCCTATGCGCTCTGACTGGGATCGGATTACCACTCGCCCTCTCTTTTGCCTTTCTGAGAGCCAGGTTCGGTTACGCTCCGTTGGAGGCGTTCGCTGCTGGTGCAGCGTTGTCCTCCACGAGTCTCGGTACCACACTGGCGGCCCTCAACAGTGTCGATCGTAGTCACGCAGACAGAAGAAACTTATCAGAGAAAGATTCCAGCAGTATCAGGCAGGACCCCGACGTGCAAGCTCCGAGTGCAAATCATTTGACAGCCCCAGAGTGTGCGGGAGACGTAGAATTAGTGCATCGCGCCACACGTTCGCAGAGTACACCTCACTCGCACACCGTAAGGCCAATATCTATCACGTCCTCGGTCTCAACTCTACCTGCCCGCGTCCCTCTGCAGCAGACCCGCATCGGTACTGTGTTGATCAGTGCTGCAATAATCGATGACGTCGTCGGGCTTGTGATTGCCGCACTTATTCCTGCATTGGCTGAACTCAATGGGACTTCCTCGGTGCAGAAGTCCTCGCATTTAGCATGGACATTGATCTGTCCACTACTGTCATCACTGCTGATCGCTCTGCTGACGCCCCTCGTTGCACGCTTCATTCTCCGTCCACTCTTCTGGTTTCACAATTTCGGCGAAATGTGGTGTGCCCCGGGGCGTTCAGGGAAGGGATGGGGCTGGCTTAATGCTAGCGAATTTGGGTCACGCGCTCCGGTGACCGGCAGCTGGGGAACGGAAGCCCACGCAGACGCAGTGAAGCTGGGCATCATGGTCTGTACTTTGAGCGCGTTCACAGCAATTGCATATTGTGCGTCTTAAGATAGTTCATCGATTAGCTCATCTAACGAGTCGTAGACACAGGAAGCAGCATGTTGTTTGGTGCATATATTAGCGGACTCACATTGTCGTACGTCGCTCGGCCACATGTTGACGCCACAACCGCTACGCAAGCCGCAGGAGAATCGGACGAAGAAGCTGAGGAAGAGCGCGTAGCGGCACTGTCTTTCGAACACACTTTTGCACGCACCATTGGTCCGTTGCAACAATACGTACTGGCGCCGCTGTTTTTTGCCAGTATCGGATATGCAATCGTAAGTTACCTATCGGATGTCCACAACTACCCCAAGCTAATATCTGCCGTATCTACCGTTCAAATAGCCATTCCTCTCGCTCTGGAAACCTGTCATCATATGGCGTGGCGTTGTTTATGCGCTTCTCATGTGTGTATGCAAGCTAGCGGTCGGGCTTCCGATATTGGCGTGGATATTGGCTCCATGCTTATATTGCAAAGTGCTTACGGTTTGGAGGCACCGAAGATGCATTCAATCACCGTCCGGCGCCCATCCACCGGAAGTTGCACACAGCGAATCTCTTACGCAATTACTCTCCGCCACCCTGCACCCAGCTGCATTCATTGGCATCGCCATGGTCTCACGCGGGGAGATCGGGCTGCTCATTGCTGAGATCGCGCATCAAGGTGGAGGGCCGACGGACTCCGCAGGGCTTCTTGATGAAGAGGCTTTTCTGATATGTATTTGGGCAATCTTGCTTTGTACGTTGATAGGGCCTGTTGGTGTTGGATTTGTGGTGAGGCGCTGGGGACGGGAAATTACCGACGGGGTATGGGCATGACGTGGTGTCGAGCCGTATCGGCAACAGTCTCCTTCCATAACGCCACGGTCGGCAAGACTCGAGGGTTCGTCATTTACAGGAACAGCTGACTGCCCGGTTTGTTTAGCTCACTGTCCGGCAGCAGGATCATGTGCGGGTTCATTTCCTGATATCCATGTAGAAGTAATGATGCGAATCTGGCCATCTCGTAGGGCTCATGTCTGAGATATAAGGTTCACCAGTTCGCCAGTGCGCCGAGCCTCGTGCCTTCGGAATGTCTGCAATCTCGTATACGTGTTAAGATTAAAAACACACCCGTCGTCAAATCCTTATCCATGACGGGCGGAAAAGGTGTCGAGGTGTGCGAAGTGTGTTTTGCGACTGTGATATAGTCGTTTGCCACAGGGAAAACGGCATGCTGGCATCACAAGTCAGTGAATACGAGATCCCACAAATGCAATTTGCTTGCAACCCACGTTGAAATGAGCCTGTGGTTAGATAGGCACTATGCATTGAAGGTCTTGAGCAATGCCTTCGAGACTCAGCTGAGGGATATGAGTTTTCTGATTGCGGGGGACAGACGAGGACATACCGTGTTCACCGCCTGTCTACCTGCGTTCACTATCACCCTCGCATGCACCGCGCGCTTTCACGCGGTCAGGAGAATGGTAGCTTCCCTCGTGCCCACGAAACAAGCTGCGTTCCTTCACCGATGCCCCGATCCGTAACATGCTGCCCGGACGGGCACCAGAACAGAGCTCTACAGGGTGCTCGGATCGTCGAATCACTGTTCCGGTGCTCCGAATATCGACCCCTTGATGAGTCAGGTGCTTGTAGAACGTGCCGCTGGTCTCGTCGGGCTCGTCATCCCCGTAATGATTGCCGCGCTTGCACTTCAAGGGGGATACAATGGAGTGGACTCCGACGCGCGCGGCCGGGTGATGCGGATGGAGGGAGGACCGCCTTGGCACGCAAGGAGCAATACGTGTACCGAGATGAGCCGGGTGGACACACACGGATCGACCCTTCATGCAGATTTGCGGAGTCCCAGGATGGATTCCGCTGTTGCCTGGGAGATGGACCCCATCACTGAGCAGCGATGGTACGACTCGTGCATGGGTGTCCTAATCGGGCTTAAAGCTCCCGCTGCACGTCGGTTGGCCACTTCCCCCAGCCCTTGTAGAGGTCGAGCGTCCCTGATAGTGCCCTCACGGCCACTGAGATCTTGCAACGGATGGCTCTGCTCCGTATCATCTGCATTTCTGGCCTGCTTTTCGACCATTTCATATGTCGGCCATAGTACATACACCTGCAGCAAGGCTTAGCGAAACGGCCAAATCCTCGATAACGTGCGAGGACATACCGTTTTCGAGATGTATCGCGCCTCCTGCAAGGGCATCACCGCGTCCTTACAAGAAGCGCGATACATACGGACACGGTCCTGTCCGTCCTAGAGATCCATCTGTGTATGGTACCGTTGCCGTGGGATCTGCTAGCGAGATCGCAAGGTCGTATCAGCAAAGCGTGGATATGACACGCGGAGGTGAGCGCCGACATTGCAAAGAAACCAAGTAACACCAGCACAGAGTAAGACGAAATGGAGCTCGAGGAAAGGGCATGCTCACCCATCAACAAAGAGCCGTTGAAGCCTTCAATGCGGCAAAATTGACCGAGGAACAGGGCCAGCGCTAACCGATAATAAAAGTCTGTGTGAAACAGATATGCTATGCTTAGATTTTCCACAGTTGTGCCGCACGAGAAAATACCGCTCACTGAGATCGTAGTCCGGGTTTGGGCGATGTGTTGGGATGTGTACATCAGAAATGCAAGGATGCTGCGCGTGCAAAGTGGTGCAGAAGGAGGCAAGAGAAGAGGGTGTAGATGAGAAGTGTACGGTGCCGTGCATTTCTGATCTACGCCGTGTTTGTTCGCGCCTGCTCGCAGTGAGGTAGGTGGGCTGATTGAATTGAGGATGTTGGCAGATTGGCAGCTATATTTATAGCGTGGATCGAAGGCATGAGTGGCGAGGTACACCTGCGAGTACGTCTGAAACAAGAAGTTAGATACTTAGTGGCAACAAAGTAACTACAATGGGACTCTCGTCAGCGCGAGTTGTTCACAATGCAAACCACCTGAATGGCTCTTTAGCGTGTTCACTTTGTAGGCTTTGGATCGTGATGCTCACAAATACCAGCCTCCTTCATCCTAGCTTCCATCGCTCAGCGGTGTGCATGAGCAGACGCACGCGTAAAAGCAACCAGGTTCATTGTAGTACCCGGGCCGATGATGGCCAGCGTCTGGACAATGTAGTACCGCAACGACACGAGGCCATGAGGGCACCGTCGAGTGGCTGGTGGGTGTCTGGAAGGAGAATATCGTTTATGGGCTGTCGCTAGTCATTGCTTGAGAGTAGTAGTACTGGAACAAATGGAGATATACCCGCCGCTTGCTGCTGGATGCTATCGCGATAGGGATCTACGCGGAGTTCAATCACGATCCCAGCAACGTGCGTCATCGATCGGGGGCGAGTCAACTCAGCGCCACCACTCACATACCACCTCAACCCTGCCATCCATTCTCTATCGTTAACATCATCCTAGAGAGACCATGGTGAAGGCGACTGAGAAGCGCATATATCTTACTCGCCACGCACAGGCAGAGCACAAGTGAGTAGCCGTCGCATCGGTGGTGTTTAATATGAGGCTCATGCTACTACAGTGTCGCCGAGGACTACACTAGTGCGTGGCCTTCGCAAACATGATTGACCGATTTCTGAAGTGACCGGTAACGTGCAGTCCATGACGCACCCCTGACTGCGCTCGGACGGCAGCAGGCTGCTAATCTGCACAAAGACACGAAGGAAACCATCCAGCAAACGGCGGAACTGCTCGTGACGAGCGGGCTCAAGCGAACCCTAACGACGACCGCCATCGGTTACGCTACGCTCAGGAAGCGTCTAGAAGAACAAGGAAAGGGTGTCGTCGTTCTGCCGCAGTTGCAAGAGGTGTGTCATCCCGGTCTAAGACTAGCGTGAGGATGCCTCATGAGATCATCGTAGTGCAACGACCTTCCTTGCGATACAGGCTCAGTATGTGCCATCCATGTAATGCATTTTGATTATACCTGATGAACCATGTCAGCCCCGCGAGGTGCTCGAAGCGGACCCCGAGTACGCCGGCATCGACTTCAGCACGCTCACGCCCGACTGGACGTCCAAGGCCGGTTTCTACGCCGCGACGTCCTCAGCGCTCAAGGCCCGCGCGCGGTGGAACCGCCGGTGGCTGCGCGAGCGCCCTGAACGCGACATCGTTTTGGTGGCGCATGGCGATTGCTTGCGCTACATCACCGACGGCGAGAACTCGTTCAAGCCGTGGGCCAACGTCGAGGTGCGCGAGTACACGTTCAAGGTAGAGGATGAGGAGGACACCGACGGCGACGCGTGGCTCGTGGAAGTGAAGAAGGTCGTGCAGGAGGGCGCGGACCTGCCGACGTCGTCTTCGGAGAGGTTCTCTGCCTAGATGCATATTGCAGCAGGAGAGAACTCGGTGTTTAACTGTAGATCATGGTCTCGATGCGCGCTATACCAACAGCTCGACATACCTTCCGTATAATACTAGATGCCATGTGTTGCGACTGCAGCCTGTGATGTCATCACGGGTAAATAACTCGGGACTGCATAGAGATCAAGTAGAGCAACTTCACAGTTTTTGTACATTGCTCCTTTACAAAGACACAATAATAACGCCATCGGTCACAGGCTATAGAGTCAAATGGATAAAATCAAAAGGTACGTACCGTATTCAAGCCATCACTGAGAAATTGAAAAGAAAGAAGAAAGAAAGAAACAACAGGCCGATGCGAGTTGCGTCTCACGCGTCCCTCCGGACCTCCACTCCGTTCACTAGCACTAGTAAAGGCGACTGATGTATCGCACGTATTTGGTGAGTTCTTCGTCGCGTTACCATGTTTTTGTTGAGTGACGCAAACGAGCGACTCGAGCGCGCGTTGTGCTTCATTTCATTTCGATCGACTAGCGTTATCTGAGCATTCGGTCACACTCCCTATATTTCGTTATGTTCCTTATACTCAGCTAGTACTTCTGAACATTCTCATCTGACGCCCTCAATGTACGTACCCATTTGCCCCTCAGCCGCTGCGAAGGGGAATTGCGAAGACTCGAATTTGAAGTGCATGCGTGCGATCAAGTGAACCCACGTGGGGTCATGGCACCCCTAATACGTCGGCGCTTCAGGTTCCTGGCCTTCAAGTTCCATCTCCCACCACTCTGCAGGCGGCCCGTCTGCATACGGTCTTCAACTTTTCGTTCACAGAGGTACGACAGCAAAGCCAGACATCATCTCTGGACGATACGCAGCGCCCTTCTTTCCCCCTAGCCAGCTAGGACTTGGCTCATCGACAGCACATTCTCTTCGCCTTTCCCTCGATCGTGTCTCGAACCCAACGCTACCATTTCTACTACTAGCTATCTAATCTTGTACTGAACACCAATACCTGAAGCAGAAAATGACCTCTGTAGACAGACGGGGAGCCGGCACGCAGGACACCTTTGACCTGCGGGACCAGATCCTACCTGACGATCACAACAGTCTGGTTGCGGACCATGTCTACCACTCGGACGAGGAGCACTCCGTGCTCGAGGACGATTCGGACAACGAGGACCGTGAGGACTACATGGACGACGACGATGGCTCGTCCTCGCTCTCCATCCCGAACGAGTCCATCAACTTCGACCTCGTGTATGCGCTGCACAGCTTTGCAGCAACAGTCGAGGGCCAGGCCAACGTCGTCAAGGGTGACAGCCTGGTACTCATGGACGACAGCAACAGCTACTGGTGGCTGGTGCGTGTGCTCAAGACCGAGGAGGTCGGCTACATACCCGCGGAGAACATCGAGACGCCGTTTGAGCGGCTCGCAAGACTCAACAAGCACCGCAACGTGGATGTAAGCGCCCTGTTATGCTGATCGGGATATGGTGACCGACTGCCTTCGTAGCTGGCATCCGCGACGCAAGCCGAGATTGAGGAAACGCGTAACCGCATCGTTTCCTCGCGTGTGGGGCACGGCACGCCCTCGCCCACCCCCGGCCCTGCGCGGACCACGCGTCAGATGAGGGGTGTATCCTTCATCGCATCGTTCTCCGTGCATCGCTATCCGCCCGCGGTGTGGGGCGACGAAGAGGACGAGGAGGAGGACGTCGAATGGGACGATGAGGGATACGAAGACGAGGACCCCGACCTCGCGGAGGAGCAGGAGGAGCGCGAGCGCATGTCCGTGCACCAGAGCGAGCGCGGCGGTCCGATGGGGATGGTGATGGAGCCAGACGATGGCATGAGCTGGGAGGACGGTGCCGTGGAGGCCGCGCAAGACAAGACAAGGCTGCAGCTCGCGATCGAGGCCGAGGCCGAGGCTCAGCGCGCGCGGCAGCAGCAGCAGGAGCAGCTCATCGCTCAGCAGCGCCAGCAGGCCGAGCAAGAGCAGGAGCGGCAAGTCCAGATGCAAATACGGCAGCGCATCGAGGAACAGCGGCGTGAACAGCAGGCACAGACGCAGGTACAGACACAAACGCTCCGCACGCAGTCGTCGCGTGAGCAGCTGGGCATCGTCGATGTCGCAGCGGGCGCGCCGACGAAGACGCTGGATCCCGCACAGGCGACGGAGACGCGCAAGATCAGCATGACGCCGCCCGTCGCGCGCGTGGAGGACCCGCGCCCGTCGCCAACGGGGAGCAGCCAGGGTAGCCAGCGCCGGCAGTCGGACGAGCGCAAGCGCAGCCGTGAGGAGGCGGAGGCGGAGGAGGCCGCGCGCAAGAAGGTCAATGGGAGCTTCACTGACAAGGGGAAGAGCGGCCCCGTCTCCTCAGGCGGCAAGCCGGCCGGCGGCGCGAAGCTGCGCAAGGAGCGCGACTCGACGGACGACGAGAGCGGGAGGGACAGGGACAAGAAGAAGAAAACTGGGGGCATGTTCGGGGGCATATTTGGGCGTCGGAAGGACAAGGACAAGTCGAGAGACAAGGGGGACAACGCCAGCGTCACGAGCGGCGGCAGCGGGGGCGAGTTCGGCCGGGAGTCGGAGGAGTCGGGCAAGTCGCTGAGGGAGCATGGTATCTCGTCGCCGCCGCCGCCGCTGGCGGAGCCTACCTCGCCCGTGACGGCGATGGCGAGACAGCAGCAGCAGCAGGGCGGGTACAAACCTCAGCCTGGACAACAATCCCAGCAGGCACCGCAGACGCCGCCGCAGGCCGCCACAGTGCAGATCTCGCAGCATGTCTCGACGTTGCGGCAGCGCGACCAGCAGCAGCAAGCGCTGTACCAGCAGTATCTCAACCGCTCTCCGTCCACTCCCCCAGAGCCGTCATACGGGACACAGTCCGTAGCCGCGGTTCTGGGTGGCTCGATGTCGTTCAATTCGTCCATCAATTCCGCGTCTGGCCTCAATGTTGGTTCGTCGCGCCCGCGTCCTGGGTCTCTTGTGCTGTCACCGTCGGGTATGGACGGGCAGGGCGTCGGCCTGCCTGACCTGAGCGTGGTGCGCGTCTTCGCCGGTGATCAGCTGCAGACGGAGGCTACATTCAAGACGGTTCTGCTCAATAATTCCACTACCGCGTCGGACCTCGTGCGCCAGGCCATTCAGCGCTTCAGGCTACCAGCTGGGGAAGATGAGAAGGATTACTACCTGACGATCAAGCAGGTTGAGGGCTCGTCCGCCAAGCTTCTGCCACACGAGAAGCCACTAGGTGTCTTTGAGTCGCTCGTAGAGGCGGCTTTGGAGCTGCCAAAGGTCAAGCGAAGCAGTGTCGGCAGTATCAGCTCTGTGGCTAGCAACTTGTCGATGCACCCGGCGATCAAGAAACTGTCCATGAACGACTTTACAGACGACTCTGCCGTCAAGTTCTATTTGAACAGGAAGGGCGATGACATGAATGACAGCTTTCTCGGCGAGGATGGAGACGCCACTCTGCTTGTCGAAAGCCCCCAGGACGATAATGGGGAAACGTCTCCCAAGGCCCGCCCTCAGTACCTCACCGTATCTGGCAGCCAGAACAGTGTTGGAGCTGAGCGCTTCAGTTCTCCTTCCTTCAGATTTGCTCTCCAGCTTGTCATTTACCCTGATGACTTGCCGGACGACATGGTGTTTGATCCACTGACTGAAGCTATCGTCTTCAAGCACACGTTGCGGGATCGTTCACAATCAAGCATGATTATGTCCCCCGGTATCTCTCAGACGATGCGTAAGAAAGTCTTCGTCTTCCCCAAGAATGTGACTGTCGCTGAGGTGATTGAACTTGGCTTGGAGAGATTCGGTATCCTTGAGGGTGTTGTCGACGGTGGCGACGAAATTGAGGACAAGCTCACTAAGCGTAGGAGCTCTTCGCGCGTGCGTTACGGCTTGGCAGTCGAGATCGGTGGTAAAGGTGAAGAATTTGGATTTTGTCTACTCACCCGTGTACTGACAAACCCATCATAGAGCGAGAGCTGTCTCCGTCGAGCAAAGTAATTGATGCGTTCACTAGACCACCTACCTTCCGTGCCATGGATCGTCAGTTTGGTGGTAGCAAGCGGCGGTCTGTCGACTCAGCTCAGTTGCTGCTGGGAACCCCCGACGATGTTCAATCAGACGATCCAGTCTTCATCCTGCGTCGTGCAGTTGCCTATAGACAATCCTCTTCGCGCCACAGAACGTCTGCACCGCTCGATGAGATTGCTCTGCAGCATCTTCACCGCAACTCCGCGGCAAGCTCGAGTGTGGGTTCGGACTCCACTGCGGGTCCAGCAGAAGAGCCAAAGTCTCAAGTATCGTCTCAAATGTCCAAACGAGCTATCATTGCCGCTCAGCGTGACGCGAAAAGAGCTACTCAAAAGGACATTCTTTCCGCACAGGCGAACTCCGCACGAGGCCTGGACGTCCTGCTTCCTGGGAATGCTATGATTCGCAGCTCGCGCTACGAGGTAGACGACAAGATGCGTTATTCATACGTCGAGCCTGATGGGCAGACGACGTACGACATTAGCGATATCGTTGAGGAAGAATGGCGAGGCGAAGTCGGACCTTCTGGACAACGCGTCAATGCTACAGCAGATGATCTCCTCCACGGCGTGTTGGCACGCGGCAAGGACGGCCTGGGTGCGAAGTTGGACCGTGTATTGAGCAAGATCAAGCACGAAAAGGGCGGCCGACTCCCAGTGTCCCAGTCAACATCTGGAGGAACCATTGACACCATAAGTTCTGCTCGCTCAGGGTCGCCCTCATTCTATTCAGCGACAGAGGGCACCTCAGAACGATCCACCTCACGTACCACAACTCCCACCGTACAAGGATTGCACGGCCGATCCCCCTCTCTCACCGGCAATCCCGGTCAGCGAGTCACGTCTCCGCTGTCCCAGCTATCCGGATATCGAACGGCTAGTCCAGGCATCTCGCCATCTGATGGTCGATCGGGCTCACGGAGCATCACACCTGGTGCAAGTCAGAGGAGAGCGCCGCCTCACGAGAGACAGAACTCGGCTCTTTCGGAGGTCTCTGTTTATCGCACGGCTACTCCCTCGACGCCGACCGGTCTCAATGCCCGTTTGCCCACCCCGACTCTGATCAAGCCGACACCGCCGCGTCTGGTCCTGCCAAAGGACGACTTTGGGTTATCGAACATGATGGCTATCATTGAGCTCAAAGCCTCGCAGCAACAGAAAGCGGCCCCTCCACCGCAGGATCCGGTGGACGAGCTTCTGTTCGGCAAACAGATCGATTTGAACAGCCTTCATCCTCAGGTTAGGGATATTTATGCCAGCACATTCAAACAACTGAATGAGATGGATGAGGTATGTCAAAGCCAACCTTGCGTCTTCCTTAGTTCTAACCCCGTGATGCAGACTTTGGATAAATTATTGCACCATGCGGTATCAACCTACTAGGGTTCTAATATGTATTCTCGCGTGATTCTTGGTATTCGACCCGCTGTCTTCACGATCTCCTGCAATGAATGATAGTATTGTGCACTCTGGTCAAATACAAGGTTTGACTAGTCGAGACGTTCGCCACACCTGCAGCTTAAAACCGATGGCTAAATGCGTTGTCTCAATGACGACAATGCCGAGAGCCTGCTCCTGAAGTACACCGAGTAATTCTGTGACCTCACGACTGGCTGCGCCGAGTACTATGAGTGGTAGTAAGTTTTTCACGGCCTAGAGTTACTCAAATCTCCTTGTACTGCCTTCCACATTGGAATTCCAAATTTCATAAAATCGAGGTGTATCTAGTCCTTATCCCGACAGCTGTGTACATAATTCTCAGCCCAGATCCCCATCTCGGCAGCTTTCAGCCTTTATTCTCTACTGATTTTCATGTCTACCTACGAGCCCGATATATACATAAACTTAGGTACAATATAGACGGGCATCATACACACCTCAGCCACAGCTTGGCAATATTTGATCAATATATTTGGATTCCCGATCGCCCGTCGTGGTCCGTGGAGGAGGTTGGATGACTTCCCGCAGATGCAAACCGGACTTTAAAATGGACCCGTTATGTCGGTCCGTGCCGTTTGGCAGAAAATAGGTGCCCGCGGCCGTTACCAGTCGCTACCGACAGGTTACTTACCAACAAGTGACTAACGAGGGCGGGAATGGATGAGGTGAGCAAAATGATCGCGTTTGAGCCAACGAGGAACGAGCGGAGCTCGAAAACAACGTCTGCAACGGTCAATCTGGCCTGGAAGGGGGTTCCCTCCTCCAGACGGACTCTTCGGCGTCTAACGCGTCCAGACCCTGCGGGAAGGCATCCATTGACATTGCAAAATTTGAATTCGGACGTGATGTTCATGACATGTGGCGTCACTTCCACATCAGGAGAACATGCAAAATGCTTGCTTGCACTGGTGAGCATTTATGTTACGCTTGTGCATTCAAACTCGGCTTGTAGCACTTGCCACAAGTGTGCAAGTACTGGCAAGCAGTCGCAAGGGTGAGATCATGGGAAGTCATAATGTAATTGACCATCACTTGTAACTGCTTGTTAGCACTTGTACTCTGTAACAAGGGCTACGAGCTGACTCAAAGTCTCAAGTGCAACACAAGTGCCGGTAAGCATTTTTCATCTGATGGCCTATTCTAGGATACAGTATTTCAAGTTCGGGTGTAGGTGTGAGCACCGCTGTTGGATGAAGCCCCTTCTACGTTACAAGATGGTGGGAAGGTCTGTGGAGCCTTGCTAAGGGGGCGCCTTCTAACATCAAACTTTGTTGCTTCGTGTCTCTCACTCGCTTTTGGAACTAAGCCTTTAAACATCCGTCGTCTGCTTTGGACGACCTGTTCCTCTTGCACATGGCGCCTTCGGCAATCTTATTTGTGCTCTCATTCCTTGTTTGTTTGACAATCCGTCTTGTTTCAGCCGAGCTTCGTAACGTCACCATTGACGATGCGAGTCCCGCGGTCGATTACTATCCCCTCAACGAGTGGAATGCGAGGCCAGGAGCCTGCTCCAGCTGTCAAGCTGATCCCGACGCCAGCCAGGCATACGATGGCACCTGGCACGATACTTCCTACGATCCTGGACAGAGCGCAGCGCCGCTTAATGCTACACTGACATTTAATGGTGTGTCATTCACGTACATGATAGCATGTCTTCGAACTCAATGACTAATTAAATATGATATCCGGCAGGCTCTGCTGTCTACGTGTACTGCATTATTTCTCATTCCTCAGGCGATCCCGACGGCAATACCGATCTGCATTTTATGATCGACGACGATGTTGTGGGCTCCACAAACATACCACCCACGGGATTGTCGACTTACAGTTACAACTATCTGGTCTATAGCGGGCAATTCCCCATGGGCCAACATACATTGACCGTGGTCAACGGACAAGATGGTGGACCATGGTCAATGATCTTGCTGGACTATATCATATATACGTGAGTAGAATGGTCCATTCCACCTGTTCATAGTTTGTGGACTTTAACTTATTGAATTCGGGAAACGCAGAGCTGGATCTGATTTAGACCAGCCTGAGACCACTCAGAGCACTGCCACGGACACAGTCACGGAAATCGCGACATCGTCTGGAGGTCATAGCAGTGCGACCCCAAGTGTCAGCAACGCGTCCGATGCAGCTGATGGTTCCAAGTCGCAGACGCACATCATTGTTATCGTGGCGGTTGTGGTCGGCACACTCCTCATACTGGCCGTCGCAGCCTTTTTTTCCCTTTGGAGGTATCGCTCGCGCGGACGGATCCACCTGCGGACTCCAGAACCCTTCGATCTTCTGAGTTCCCCGTTACCTGGGTCTGAGACCCAAATGCCACCCGTTGCTCCTTATGGCAGCCGGCCGATTTTAGTAGGACCACTGCAGTCGAATGCAGAGGATGTATCGGATCCTGAGGTGCTCGTGTACACCACGCCAGTACCTCGCGCATCACACGTCCATCCTCGCGCAGACGGAGGAGCAAGGGATTACCCTTCCGAGAGAAACAAAGCGGCGGGAGGCACAAATGTGCGTTCAACCTGGAGCATGAACTCTTTAGAGTCATATGTTAGTATGCCACCATCGTACTACAGCGCTAGCGGGAGGGGGGTTTGAAGGGCAAGCTAGTGCACAACGGTTCCTCGATTGGTACGTAACATGTTGGCATCTGAACCATCGTCTCTTGTGCTATCGATAAATTTGGAAGTAGTCCGTTTTGCTTATTGGAATGTCGTACATGATCTCGCCGGATTATTTATATATTATCTGTTTATTTTATATCCAGTTTTAGATCCGCTTGATCGCCGTATGTTGACATAACCTGGTTAGCGAGAGGAATCATATCGTAGCGACCAACCACGCGCACGAGCATGTACACCAAGCGATGCTACGTCTTTCGTCGGACTTCGTTCACTTCATGGGTACGGAACGCGCCTTGATTGTAGCATTGTCGCAGGTCATCGATTCTAGCTCGGCAACAGAGAATTCGACGTCCCCCCTAGTTCGTACTGCAGCACGGGTGGCGACGATCTCCTTACGCACCTTGCTCTGGTAGTTATGATGTTTGACTTTGGCGAACTCCCAGAACGACCATGTTAGAGCACCCGCCGTAGTATCATGGCCTGAGACGTAGTCATCAAGCCTCACGCATCAGTTGATGTGCGATGCCATCGGTCGTTTGTAGCGAGCATCGAAGTCTCATCGGCAGACACACGACAAAATCCAGTCTGGAATGTATGGCCAGATCAAGCGAAAGAGAAGAATAGCCTTTGGTGGGTGCATGTTCGAGTCTCGGCTTGGATAGGGTCTGGAGCAGTCCATGATCATCGGACACAAAGTTACACTCACAACATATCTTTGTTTACTTGAGACTAGTTCGCTGCCACCGCAATTATGACCAAAGGCCGCTTAAGCCACAAATTTCACGGGGCACAATCATGTCAGTTGAATAGCTCACTCTTTCCTATCACATCGAGCGTTGTTCTGTTCTAGTAACGCCTCAGTGAGGCATTACTCTTCGCTGCGTGCGACGATCGAGCGCGGGTTGCGTAGTCAGAATGGGCAGTAGATCTCACGCGTGCTAACGGAGGTTGTCTTCAAATAGGCTCCGGGCAAGGGTGGTCCGCTCATAATACCTCGTGGCATTCGCGTTGATTCAGCATGGCACAACACTGCGCTGAGAAGACACTGAGAGTCTAAAGTGGGCGTATCCGCACAACCTCACTGACTGAACAACATGACGATGATGTCCAGCGACGGCATACGAAGTGTACGTCATTCACCGGATCAAGTTCAGAAGCGACTTGATGAAAGTGTTGTTTTAGTCCCTCCAAAGAGTATGCCGCATACTCACACAGGCGTGTTCGATCGGCTGGCCATATACTGTCTCGAGCATGACGCATCTTCTACGATATGGCAGACGTAGATTTCTTACAAGGTGGTTCCGTGTTGCGCCGGTGGACTTCGTTGGGCGCTGGTTTGCCGCATTACTGAAGTCGACAGGGACTCTCAGCTCGAAGCTTCTGAGGTTGAGAAGTCCACCGGATCCGTCAACCTGGTCTCCTGCATACACCCCGGAGGAAGAGAAGAGGTACTGGGCGACGTCAGCACGATACCTCAGGATCCTCGGTGCCTCCAACGCGAACACAACACCCCCTCATGTCCCTCTCGTCACATATTACGTACCAAAATTGCTTCCTGCATACCGCTCAGCCCGGCACATGGATACGGAGGCTGCGGAGTACCACTTGCCAGCCCGAGCGTTCTGTAAATGGCATCGCATGGTGTTTCAAGGCCCAGTGAGTCATGGATGCGCATTTTGGCCCTTCCTCTAACAGCTGAACACCGTAGCTGCATCCTATCCCAAAGCAGGCCGAGAGCCTTATCAAAAGCTATAGCAGCCGAGACAGGCGCGAAATACATAGAATCTCGCGGCTGCTGACGGACGAGGACGTCTTCATAGGAACGGTGCCTTGGACATCAGCATACCGCGATATGTGGAGGCATTGGTTGGATACAAAAGGACCGGACATCGCCATTGTTTTCAGCTGATTTCAAAGCGATCGACCCATGGGTTGTGGATGCAGCTACCGTGTGGGACGTTACAAGGCACATCATGTCGAAGACTGCGACGACGTCGCTACACCTGACCTTTCCTCATCAAGTTCCTTCGTATCCTCCGACGCTCGCCTCCTGCGGCTTCACTCTTGCCCCATTTCAGGTACGGCACTCTGCTGCGCTCGACGCCCGCAACATCTCCGTTGTCTATCGAGCGGAAGTCAAGCATACCCCAGATAGGTAGCTCCAGCTCGCCTTTCACGAATACGCGACCAGACTGCAGGAGATGGGGCGGAAGAGGAGTGATGAGGTGCATTGATGGACTCGGCGGTGAGTGTGGAAGAGAGCGAACCAGGGCGAGGCCACAGCAATTGGACGAGAAGGGAGACGGTGGGGCTGAACCTTGTCGGTATCGGAAGACATGCGTTGGGTCCGTTGAGCCGTCCGCGTCAATGTCCACGGCCCCGGGGTCACACCTCACGAGAGCGACAATAGCGCCATTTAGTACACGATGCACCTCTGAGGGCACGACGTCTTCCATACCCGCTCCAGTGAGAATGACGTGGTCGATTGCCGCTTGACTGTCCACCTCGTAAGGACGCTGTGCACACAAAGGAAGTGTTGTGTCCCACGACGACGCCATAACTGTTTGTGGTGGGGTGAGATCGGAGGTGAAGACCGCATGGAAGTAGGACATGGTGGACAAAAAGCGGTGATCGGCAGCAGAATACAGGGCTGACAGTGGGGAGGGTTCTATGGCGGCCAGATGATGATGTGTAACCCCTTGTGGGAGAGGCAAAGCAGCTTGCATGAAGGCATTCGTGTCAACGATTCCATATGAGTCATCCGACACTGGAGGGTTGATGTCAAAGATGTCGGATGGTTCGACCAGCTCTTCGACTTTGCGCGATAAATCAGCACCAAGGCCTTTTGTCCATCCCATTGTGTTTACAACCAATGGAATGAGATCAGAAATCCGGTCATCCGATACATCCTGCTCTTCCAGAAGCGCGCCATGCTGCACATCGAGGTTGTAGGTTTGGACAAGCGCCTGGATAGACTCGAGGTAATGGGAAGGCGACGACCGTGGAGAAGCGGCACCAATGTAATGCGCTGCGTATGGTATGCTCGAATGAGTAAACGGTGGCCCTACAGCGGTCCTTGAGTCACATATGGAGGAAGGTGAACAGCTCGCACCAACCAAAGACAGGCTTATCGAGAATATTCAGAGCGGCCATGCCTCCCGGGGTGAACTCGGATTGTCCAAGATCACATTCCAAAAATGCCACGCGCCTGTACCTACGATTATGCATGATATCAGCCTTCTGACAGTTAGCACAAATTGCAAGACAGGGCCTACTTTGTCAGAAGCCGATTTAGGAGTGTCCGCGCCAATGTGCTTTTCCCAGCGTTTTTCGGGCCCTTTACAAGGCACACAAGCCGAGCGGAGGCGTAACCAGATGTGCTGACATCGCGAGTAAGAAGGCTAGACGTCGCTGCCTCCCATGAATGAGGAATTAGCAGCGGGTTCAAATCGCGGGTATGGTGGGTAACCTGTGTCACATCCAATGAGTATGAATACTATGCGCCGTGACAAGGAAACACACCAATTTGACACTGTTCAAGCCGAGGTCGGGCACTGCTGAACTACTCTGCCAGCGTGAGGGCGCAAAGACGCCGTCGAATGTGCGGCATACTAGTCCCAAGCCTTCGACACCTGTTTGAATATCCTGAAGAAGGACAGCCGCTCTTCCTGCAGTGGCTGCAGCTCGTATTCTTGATGGCAAAGCGAGTGAGATATCCCTCGGATGCCGGGTCTGTGACAGACTTTCGATGACAGGTAGGGGCGAAGAGCGAGGGGCGAAGACACGGTAGACAGTGCTTGAGGCATGGAGAGTGGCACCATACAGTGATATAGAACCGTGCAGCACAATTAGTGAGCATGTCCCCAGAAGTGTCAGAGTTTCCCCTAGAGATAACACCAGGAGTGTTCCTCTTTGACCAGAGGGTAAATTGCATTGCTTCATCTCTTCTTCCGTCAAGTGGAACATATTCTGGTCTAGGATAGGACGGAATGTTGACAACACAGGGGGTTCATCGGGCGCCGGACGTGAAGGTTGGTAGATTGAAGGTAGCTCTGCACTGTACGCGGCATCCTCCCCACTCTCGTCGTCTTCCTCATCGGAGGAGTCTCTTAATTGGACACTAGGGGACCATGCTCTTCTGCGCTTCGTTTGTAGAATAAGTGGCTGAGTAGCCGCCTGTGTCGTGGGTGTAGGGAGAACAGTCCACTCGATAGTTTCGCTACCGATCGACATTTCGCTACGAGATGCATCCGTATCTGAATCATCATCTGGGACCACGATTAAGTCTTCCTGTGTCTTGAACGCATCGCCCTCGAAGTATCTTGGACGCTTTTCTCCCGGAGGTTTGCCTTGCTGTTTTCTCTTCTTCTTGGAAGGTTTAGGCCCCTGCTCGCCGGATTTTCTCTTCAGAGGGGGCTTAGACTTTCCCTCAGGATGCTGAGCCAATGAGGGCCGTGGAGTGAGCGTTGAAACCTGCGCAGGGGCAGACGTGGGAGCAGACGTCGGTTTCGAGAGGTCTGCCGGGGGTTTCTTCTCTTCTAAGCGCGCCTTTCGCGCTGCGACTGCACTAAGCATATCCAAGAAGCTACGTTGCCACATTGATCAGCATGACTTGGTCCTATACGTCCGAAGTAGTTCAATGGACGTTACCTTGCGCCTTCGAAGATTTACAGGACTGCACCTCACGGTTTCCCAGATCCTGGCTGCAGATACCAGAGCGCCGCGGTAAGCAAAAGCGTATGCCTTGTATGCGCGGTTGCTACAATACAGAGACTATGTGCAGGACAGAGTTCGCGAAGAGAAATGGTACAGCACATCACGTGGCCGAGACATACAGTATCTCGATCTCGATCACCGAAATTTCAGCCAAACCACAGCAAGTGGCTGCAGTACCTGATTCATTCTATCATCGAAAACATAACATCTCCAGCCATGTCTGCGTCTGCGTCCACCTCTCAGCCTGCGCCCGCACCACCGCCACCAGCCTCCGTGCTCTTCGCCCGCGGGGTCATCGCCCGCCTCGCCATTTGGCCCGCCCTGCGCGCCGCCGTAGAGCAAAGCTGGGGCGGCCCCGACGGCGCCGCGAAGCGCACCTGGCTCGCATCCGTGCTCGTCGACGCCTTCGAGCAGGAGGACCCCGCGCCCGACGCGGAGTACGTCGAGCTCACGCTGCTGCAGGTCATGGAGGACGAGTTCGACGCCGTGCTCGAGGACGACAGCGCCCAGGCCGTCGCGGCGGACGTCGTGCGCCTCTGGGCGGAGGCGTGCGCGGGGCGCCAGGAGCCGGTTGTGCAGCTCGAGCAGCAGGCGGAGCGGCTGCGCGGGAAGCGTGTCCAGCTGGAGGAGGGCGTGGGCGAGGAGAGCGATTGGGAGGATGAGGACGAGGACGACGAGGACGACGGAGAGGGAGAAGGCGCGACGGAGGCGCCGAGGCTGCTGGACCACCAGGCAAGACCACCGAGGCAGGAGCCGGAAGTAGATGACGATGGATTCACCATGGTGAAGAAGGGCAGGGGAAAGGGGCCTCGATGAGCAACTGCACGTCTACTTCATATGTGCTCTCGTATCCTTGCTCATATCATCCTTGCCAGATCTCTCTTCGTCGACCACTACCCGGAAGGCTAACTACATCCCGCCGCCCGTCTACAAAAGGGCTTTGCGGTATCGCAATTATAGGCCACTGGTCACCAAAACGATCCAGCAGGCTCACAGCAGCAATTGCAGCTCAAATTGATGATAGGATCCCCGATGTCATGGGATGCATCACAACATTATGCTGAAATAGTGCAGCGCATCTAGTACATGCTTTTTATGTGTAGCGATATATCTACTCAAGCCTCGATGAACTTGTAGCCCTTCTCGATGTTGCTCTTGAGGCCAACAAGGGCGGCCTTGAGGAGCTCCTCCTCCTCAGCGGAAATGGGGCCAACAGGGTGGATCTTCTCGACACCGTTCGGCTATACGCGAATGTAAGAAAATGGATCAATGAAGTGTGACCAAATGACTTACGCCAAGCTCGACGTTCGACGCGAAGTACTCGACGCCCTGGTCGACGTACAGCGGGCTGCGGATGAACGTCGGGGTGATCACACCCTTCTCACCAGCCAAGCCGCGGAAGAGCGTGTTCGCAAACTTCGCGCCAGCGTATGCCATAGAGAGGGTCGCACTTCCAGCACCAGCCTTGGCTTGGACGACCTCGTCACCGCCGAACTGCACACGGTGCACAAGCTTCTTGTACGCCTCGCCAGTGACGCCCTTGCCGTACGAACTCTGCGAGAAAAGAGGCACGATCGTCTCGCCGGAGTGACCGCCGACGACGGTGACAGGGGTGTCCGCAGGGTCGTTGCCGGTCACGCTGGCGAGGAAGCGCGTCGCGCGGACGACATCGAGCGTGCTGATACCGAAGATGCGCTTCGGGTCGTACACACCCGCCTTCTCGTACACACGCGAGGCGATTGGCACAAGCGAGTTGACGGGGTTGGTGATGATACAGAGGTTTGCCTTGGGCGCGACACGCACGATTGCGGACGCGAGATCACGGAGGACAGAGGCGTTCGTCTACGGGGGATCGTGTCATGTGGGCAGAATAGGGAGAGGCCGGAACAGACTCACGCTGAAGAGATCGTCACGGGTCATCTAAATCGGGGTTAAAACGGGCAGAAACAGGGAATGATCGGTACTTACGCCAGGCTGGCAAACGTGATGGGGTGAGCAAGCGCGGGAAATTGAGCACATCGGACGCATACCTTGCGAGGGACACCAGCGGGGACTATGACAACGTCGGCGCCGTCAATGGCCTCGTCGAGCTTGTCCGCGGCAAAGCCTGTAACCTAAGAACGATGTAGCGCTCAGCAGTGCCGCGTACTGTTATACTCTCAGCACGCACCTCGCTCGCACTGTCAATATGGCTGACATCGGCGGCGACACCAGGCGCGCCGCGGATATCGTAGAGGTTGAGACGCGTGACGTGAGGGTCGAGCTTGAGGAGGAGCGAGAGGGGCTGGCCGATGCCTCCGCCGGCGCCAAGAACGGTGACCTTCGTCTGGCGAGACGCAGACGAGGAGAACTGGCGGGCCTGAGAAAGGGTGCGGGAGGCAGAGCGGGAGAACATGGCGGAAGTCGTACAGGTCAGCGGGGACACAAGTGGGGACGACGAGGACGGGGAGAGAGGATGGGGAGGCGTGGGACAGCGAGGCAGGCGTAATTTATGTCGGAGAAGGTCGGACGCAGCGCCCGTCCTCGCCGATTGCGTCTACTCCGGTTCACCAAGTCGGCGGTCGCGTGCTCAGTAGGCGCGCTCCTTGCCTTCGTCATTGTCCGCGGCCTTCTAGAGCTCGTCGGCCGTAGAGATCCAGGGGTGGCCTGTAGCAAGGTGTGCATTGCCATCCCTGTTAGGCGAATGTGTCGGAGTAACGATCATGAAGCAATGAGCGCCGCACATAGATGAACACACCGCGTTATCTCAGCCCAGCCGTCCGCGTCAGACTCGATTAATTTGAAATAAGGATATCAGGCTTGTCATTAGGAACTCATCTGTTACATGCAGATGTCCGCACATCTGCGCTAACATTTAGATACGCTAACGGCCGTCTGTGATACAAAGACTGCTATGACTAATGTTAATATCCGTGACCAGCTCTCGAGGTGGTGGGTCAAGTTAGCCGGCCATGGCGTGTGTTCCCAATGAACATGAAGCGGTATGTATCCTGTGTATCCTGTGCACATCTCGTTCTTATCATTGCTTGCAGTTAGGGCGCTTGTTTCGCATCGATCCCAATGCGCCATAGCGCAAACAGCGGAGTCCGGGCTTGAGATGGCTGGATACAAGTCTCATCATTCCCATTTCTACCAAAGTCTTTCATCTGGTGGTGTCCATCGCCAGGTCAACTGCTCTATTACTACATCCCCTTCATCACGATGTTGGTCGTTGATAGTAAGAGGAAACGCATCTAAATGGGGCTGGGGCTGGTCAACACCACGTATCTCAGAAATATCAGTCTAAAGATTAAGAATTTGTTGTCATCTTGACTATGGCCGGCCTTATATGTGCTGCTCGGTTTCACCATACTGCCCCATACCTCTTTGTGTCTCTTTCACGGCTTAAGTTTTCGCAGTCAAAGCGTACACGCCCTCATGGACATTAAGTGAGTAATGCCTTAATGTCCCCAGACCATAGCGCTTTCTCATGTTCCCATTAAAGACTATCCCTTGTGCCGAATTTGGTAGCCCTTGTGTGGAGACGGTCCAGTACTTCGAATTCTACTTCCAACCCCCCATAGCCCGTCTTTGGACATGCGCTCGTGTTGCAACTCTAGTTTGCTTCGCTCCATGTTTGTTGGTGCCTCCGGAGAGCTGAATCAATTGATTTACGTACCGGCTGATATCCTTTCTGTGCTGTATGCTGGAATTCTGTCTCATGATTTACCTGTGAACGCGACTGCTGCTAAAATTACGACGACAATGGGTTATGGAGACTGTAGAAGTCTTGTGTCGCAATGGATGGAACCTATCGACTATGTGCGACTGCCTCTACTTCTAAACCCGGTGCACATTGTTATTGTTATGAGCCTATTAGTTATTCTTGGGTATACGCTCGCCGAGGACGCCTCTGAATGGATATAAGGCCAACGCCCAACGGAAGGACATAGTAGTGGCGATGCAGAACCTACCACCGAGCCTTTGGCGGAGCAACTCCTCATGACATCGCGGCATAAAGCCTGTACATAGTGTGGAATGCATAGACATGATTGTGTGAATTATTTTTGCAACGCATCGTTGGAAGTTCACCTAAAGCTGAGGGACAAGCGAGTGGCATTCATTGACGAAGTATCTGAGATCCGATGATGGCGGCATTTGCCGTGCGTAGTACATGCTTGGGTCGTCCTTGCGACTTCAAGTGGACGAATAGCGGCGTTGTCTGCGACTACTGGCTACATGAACACTGTCATCACATCCGAGTCCACAGAGCAGTCACTGAAATTTGTGAAAAGTCGCCGCTCAGATACAGAAAAGCGAGCAGTTATCTTAAGAAGGTCACGGTGCATTTCGATGCCGCGCTAGCAATACTAGCCGCGCGGAATTTACTCTCTGGTCTCGGAGATCCCTAGTATCACTATTGCCAGATTTTGCGTGCTCACAAGGAGTCATGGCCACGGACTTCTGGGCAAGCTCACACTTGTCAGACATTCCTTCTGTCGTGTCGACACCGGCGCTAACCATCATCCATTGTAATTTGTTAGCAAGAGGTGGATATTCGACAGAGCAACGTTCAGGCAGGCCCGTGCAGACGACCTTCGCTATGTCGACGATCCAGAACACCTTGACTTTCTTGCCATCTTCTTCGCTAATCGTGAGCATCCTTTGCTGTTTCGTCTTTGCGTTGCTCTCATCTCCGTCCTTCTCAGTGATATCCAAGCTCGGCAAGAAGCTGCAGCTCAGACAGCGAGTGATTGCGACCGCTACTGTGTTCTTCCGCCGCTTCTACATCAAGAACTCCTACTGTGAGACAGACCCCTTCATCGTCATCGCTGCCTGCTGCTATGTCGCAGCCAAGGCAGAAGAGCTCCCTGTCCACATCAAGAACGTCGTCTCAGAGGCTCGTCAGATATTTGGCAGTAAGCACGGCATCCGCGTACAGCTCGCTCGGATTGAATCTCATTGTAGGCGAAGAGTACGGCGTCAAGTCGTTTCCCACAGACAACTCCAAGCTCGCGGAGATGGAGTTCTACCTGGTAGACGATCTGGAGTGTGACCTGATTGTGTTCCACCCTTACCGCACGCTGATGATGCTGTGCGGGAAGGAGGGCAGCATCCACGTGAGCGAAGCAGAAGCCGGCGAGGTGGGTGCTGGCATTGACGATGGCCGGCGATTCTGGGGCACAGGCGAGGGCAAGCTGGAGCTGCAAGATGGCGCGCTCCAGATGGCCTGGTGGGTGTCTCCTCGCTCGCTCACAGCACACGCATCTGAACAACAGGCTGCTGCTAGGTTCATCATCAACGACACCTATCGCACCGACCTGTGCCTCATCCACCCGCCTCATCTGATTGCTATCGCTGCCATCTACCTTGTGCTCGTACTCCACAACTCGACACGCAGCCTCATCCAAGCGCAGTCGAGCTCGTCGTCGTCTCAGTCGGTGTCGCGCAGCTCGTCACACTCGCAACTGCAGTCGCAGCCCTCCACAGCCACCACACCACGCCGGTCTTCCCGCTCGAACGCGGCTGCACACAGGAAGCAGCCGCAGGACATCGTAGGGTTCATGGCTGGTCTCAATGTGAGCATGGCGCACGTCGCGACCATCGCTCAAGAGATTATCGGGCTGTATGCGCTGTGGGATCGCTATCGCGAGGACGGGACGGCGGGAAGCGGCGACTCTGCCCGCGGAGTGTTTGCACAGCACAGGCCTGGATATTCCGGGGCGAAGCGAGCGGCTGGCGGGGAATCGGTCGGGCGTAGCGGAAGTGTGGGGAGCGGAGGGACGATGAGCAGTGGAGCGACGCCGGTGACGAGCGAGTCGGCGGAACAAGGGCAGCAGGTTGTGGATGCAGGGTTTCTTATTCAAGTGTTGTTGAGGATGCGCGAGGGGCGGTTTGCGGATATGGCGCATCCTCCGAGCGGACGGCCGGTGGCGGTGAATAAGAGACTTGAGCGTGCACAGGCTGCTGGTTGACGCGGAAGTATGCATTGTAGTGCTGGACGTCTCAAGTAGGGCGCTGTATTGTAAGCTGCCTAGGGGAGATACATGGCACGTGGATTATGTCGGGATGGCAAGCGGAGGTCATGTTCAAGTGTGAGACATAATATCTCATAGATGATGACGGCTTGACGATGATGATTTTACTTAAGCACATGACGGACTTTAACAGGGCTTAAGAGACCCGCTAGCTGCAGAAAAGTCACCATACTTCGCCATGACACTATCAAATTTCTCGCGTTTAACCTGCTAGGTAGTGAAGACGGAGAGTTAGGGCACAGTTCGAATTCAGTAAGGCTCACACTTCTGGCCACAGCAACGGTGGCGGTATCCCAGGCAGTGCGGTATTTGTTTTAGTCCAGCACTGCTTTCGTCCGACTGAGGACGGAAGAATACTGCCAGCGAAAGGCGACGGGGTGTCGATGTTCAAAAGGTTATATACGTATCTGGCGTCCTTAGCCCCTACTGCAGGTGTATATTTAGCAGATGCAATACGACAAGCAGCCGTGGCTTATGAGTCACGATGAGTGCAGGTGAGCTGTATTGGCAAGGCGCCACAGAGCTTTCGCTTGCTGGATCCCTCCACAGTGCGTGAATTGTAAGCCGCACTCCATTCCGTAGGTTCAGCGGAGGGCCATTTGATCCAAATGATCAACATCGATATATAACAAGTATGATGGGTGTATCTATGCTCAACAAAATCCGGATTAACGAAAATACTAGCACCTGAGCGTCAGAGATTGCTCCTCGGGTCGAAGTCAGGCGCGATGATACGACTTCGGACGTCTTCCTCGAAAGACTCAGTGATATGTTCGAGCTTGCGGCACGTCCGAGCACCTACGACCTTCCATGCAGCAGATTTGACGACAGGAGTAAGATAGCTAAGGCCGCCAGCAAGTGACACCGAGACATAGCGGATGGACGGGGCTTCTTCGAGGAGCTGCAATGCTAATTCCTCTCGTTGGTCGATCTGAGCCGAAATCCTCCTCCTTGGATACATTACCAAGAGCCGCAGGTGAATCACGGTTGGCATACGGCCAAGAGCAGCCGAAATAACCCTCTAGCGACAATGTCAGTGAGTCGACCTAGACGATAAAGAATCGGATAGATACTCACTATGCATGCGAAAAGGCCCGGCGTCATGTCTCCTTCCGAAAAGGGATGAAGTTTAACTTCAAGACTACGCAGCCGCGGCGCGCATTCAACCAGCGGCATCCAAAAGGATTCGGCCAGGCCAGGATCAGCCATTATCGAGAATGAGAGCGCCAGAGGGGACGTCTGCTTGAATAAACGGAGAGCGGTTTTGAGCCCATATATGCCTGAAGGCGAGATGTCGAAATGAGGTCTGGCAAGTATGCTGCTAATCGAGACATGTGGAACATGGCAAGTTGGCGACCATTGCTCGAAGAGTTCCACAGGTCCTTCAACGTAGTCCAGGCTTTTCCAGCATGCATTCTCTGCTGAATTGAAGCGAACGCAATCATGGATTCGCAGCGCGCGAAGGTTTGGAAAGGCTCGCCACAGAGTATACATTGATATACCGGTATAAAGAAGCGGCAGGGATAGCTTGCGCATATCGGGGAACGAGTGCTGATATCCATTGTTCGACGAATGATCAGGGTCGAGCTCTTTCGAAAGTGGAAGCTCAAGGTCGGTTATCTTCATGTTTATGAGATTAGGAAGCACCTGATGCTCTGATAGGCCACTCGTCAAATCGATTATTCGCAGCTTCTGCAAGTCGTGGCGCATGGTCAAGAGAAACTCCTGGACGCATGTGCTTATGCCGAGGACCGTGATGTCCAGGCGGCGGAAGTTAGGCAGGGCGTGGATAGCTGACGCTATGCGGGGCTCCAGAGCAATGATTTCGTCAAAGAGATACACTTCGAGTGACTGCAGCTGAATAGCGTTCTCGAGGAATTGTGCCAGTTTCTGCCCAGCTGTCACGAAGGTCTCACCGAATTGATACATCCAAGAAATGTAGTGTTCTTTGGGGAGGCCAACGCGAATCTTCAGCGACTTGACGCAGTGTAGACGTCCAGGTATGTCATGGAGCATGTACGTACACATCCCCGTGATCTTTTGATAGTTTAGGTCACCGTGTACATCGTCGATTGTGACAGTCGATAGAGCCTGCCTTCGCGCGAGGGGATGTATGCTTCGAGCTGTGGCAGATAGCTTGTGGGCACTTGCCGCATCGAGGTGCGACACGATCTCGAGCAGAACATCTTCGTTTAGACCGAGGAGTCCTTGTTGAGCGCACAAGGTTTCCTAAACCAAGATTCAGTATATTCCTCTCTTGCAAATGGTGCGCCATACCCTTGACATTCTTGATTCTGGCGATATCGTGATTGTGGATTTCCCCTAGGAGACTTGTATGGCAGGTCAACGATTTAGACTGGTAGTGATCGTTGGGAGGTGCGAGGCAGTATCATATGGAGTTTGCTATAGGAGGCAGGGAAATAGACGGGAAGGACAATGTCGGAAATGTTGGCATACAGTGATTGGCAGCTGCTTTTTATCTGTGGTTGGGCTGTGATAACAGCAGTGTCGCGCCACAAAGAGCCTCTACACAAAAAGCCAAAGCCAGGTACCCGGACACGTCAAATATCAAGATTTTGAAGCACAAATGCAGAAAAGGGGTAACATGCTTTGACCTGGCAGTGGCGTAGTAGCCGCTTCGGCGCTTGTGTCATACCACACGGTACTGTGGCGGCGTCAGGAGGACATTGAGCGATTCAACCGCGTCTGTAGTGACGTGCACAAAGCGTAGACATTAGGCATCGAAAGAGCGCTTACGCAAAGGCTTTGCTCGTGAAAGATGTCAGGGGAACGTGCCGCACCTTGATTACGCAGGACGGCGCCTTGGCGCACTATGACAACTTTCCCCGGCATAGTAGCACCTCGCCAACAACGAGACGAGGCGCTGTCAAATACATCACCACGGCTCGGATGCCTCCGATATGCGGTTCGGGAGAAGATGCGGTGCACATTCAAGTTGCCAGTGAACATTGAGCGACGCCAAAGCAAAGTCTCGTAAATACCTTCTAGTTTCATAGAAAGATCATAACGCAAGAACGCATGAGCAGCTGGTAGATGACCGTCATCTACCATCTGCTCTTAGCATGTTTGTTGAATACCGCTATACTGTTCATTGGGGGAATATTCAGTAGATGCAATACGACAAGAATTCACCGACAGCATTCCCTCTCATTTTCATGAGGCTTCCGCTTTGTGTGGGATGCTGTGTACGTGGCGGGGTCAGAATAGCTGAGACTAGAGAGTTTGAATAAAGATCTCGTCTCGGTAGATGCGAATAGCAGACATGGTTGTGCTTAGATGATAGGAACCGGCTTCCGAGCGCTTCCATGTGCGTCCGTAAAAAAATCGTTGGTGTTCTTACACTTATATTTGACACCAACACGATGGATGCTTGCACGAGCAGATCAAGATGCGCCCACCTCGGCCACAGATCGAATCGCAACCAGTGTATTTACCCAATTCAGAAAATGGGAAGGGTTCGTCAGAGACTTGGCATTCTTTCTTGTGCAATGCACAAAGTCTGATATGAGATATGTAGGCTGTCCATCCGCTCAATTGTCCTGGTAGCAATCTCGTACCTACCCGTCTCATTCCCACACCCTTCGAGATGCGAGGGCCATTGGTCTACGAACAAGTAGACGTAGATCGGTCCGTGTACTTTGGCAGTCCCCCGGATCTATTATGGTATATAGCTAGGATACTGATGTCCCTGCATGCCTCGCACGCCCAGACCCCCACCTGCTCGCTCTTCTACGTCGTCGGATTCCACGGACCCGCATCGCTCAGCGAGCACCCACCCGGGCACTCGCACTTTCCGCCAAAGTCCTTCGGCATGTTCTCCGCAGGGATCTGCGCGAGGAGCTTCTCCTTGTACGAACTGCCGATGATGTCGATCTTCGACACGGTCACCTCGTCGAGCCACGGCTTGATGAACGTCCACACCGTCGAGAACGCCCACGGCGCGTTGATGATGTAGAACTTGCCCATGCACTCCGGGTAGCGGTCCTGCCCGATCGACGCTGCCGACATCACGTAGTCCTTCACGCGATAGAAGTTGGACAGCGACACGCCCTGCAGGTCCAGAATCGTGCACGACGTCTCGACCGGATGCCCCACCGCCTGCGAGCACGCAGGCAACCGCTCGTTCAGGAACTTCTCGTACTCGTACACGAGCCGCTTCAGCTGGCGCTCCTGCGTCGTGATCGCGTACAGCTTTGGGATGTCGAGCTTGCCCAGGCGCTCGACATATACCGGCCGCCCGTCCTGCGCACCGCCGTCAGACGATCACCGTGCGCGGGCGCATGGGCACACGCACCTTGTCCATTTTGTGGTAGTATGACGGGTAGTACTTGTCCACCTCCGCCTTCTCCTTAAAGTCAAAGTTCCTGGCGCGGGTACGGTGAACAGGGCGCCCCGCCAATACGCAGCGCACTCACTGCATGATGTCGTCCACCCCGAAGTCCTTCCGCCACTGCTCGCACGATAGGACCATCGCTTTCGCCTTCTCTACGTCGAACTTTCTGGCCCGCAGAAATCTGTAGCGCATGCGCGCCCGCGAGTGTGAGCGTCATCACGCGCGGCCACAGCAGTGCGCGTGCGCGCGCAAGAGAACACGCACCTGAGTAAAGCTGCATCGTGCATTCTTTCGGGCACAAAGTGCCCCTCGTCCTGCAGCTGCTTACGGAGCGTGTCTAGCGCATGCAGCTGTGCGACGGTGAGGTTACCCAGCCGCCCTGGAAGTGGCTTGTAGTTTGGATCGGTGACGCCCTCTGGCATGGGGCTGGCGCTCGCGGGCACTGTCGTACTCATCTCTACTTATGAATGTCGTTACTACTGTCGATAAGCGTCCGTGCGTGCAAGAGAGTGAGGGGAAACGTTGTCGTAGCGGGGAAGGATGAGGCAGGGGACAAGGGGTGGAGAGGGCTATATCAGGTAAGCGCCCTGTCAGATCGTCGTGATCATATCTGCACTGCTTCCAAGCGGCTCAGAGCCTCATTAATCCACGTAGCGGCGAAACATTACACGCGACAGGGGCAGGCATACACAGGTGCATTCACGTCTGGTTTTTTCATATACGCTACAACATCGTGGTACAACGCAAAGCCCGACTGCAAGTTGAGTCGCAGCCATCGGGGGACCTTGCCAGCGGGATCATGACTACAGGGGATTAAGCGCAGCTGGGCTACGGGCGGTGATAAATGAGCGACGGCGGTCAGATGCAACGTGCGAACGGGGGGTAGGGTGATGGGAACAGGATGGGGATGTGGGGAAGGCGGAGATGCGCAGGTTGAATGCGAGATGGGTGAGATGTCAGATGTACATTGATACAAGGAAAAGACGAGGAAACATATAACTCAAGTATCCCAAACGGCAAAAAAAACATGGCCCAGATCAGACAATGTCCCAGAGCTCTTCGAGCGCACAGCAGAACTGGTCGGGAATGTCAGCAGCTTGGCAGCCAATGAAGGGATCAGGTCGCTCACCTTGCCACATGCAACTGATGCGCTCAGCGGGTAGTTGCTGATACCGATTTTTTCGTCCACCATCCCGTCTGCAAAGTCATCTTTGCCGCGTGCCATTGCGCCCACAAAGACAGCAACTGAATGTGTCTCTGGGAGCGTCGGCAAGTATTGTGACAGCCGCACGGTTGGTGAGTCCCCCGAGAGAGCTGCCGTGCGCAGACGTGTCAGCACGAATTTTACGAAACGCGAGGGCAGTACGCACTCAATTTGATGGTGTTCACGGGAAGATGATCAGTCACGGGGTTCTTGATCACCTTCAACAGTTTCTCAGGACCATTAACACCTCGGATCGAGAGCTTGTGCAGAAGCTGGACTATTCGCAAAACGAGATAAGAGGATAGTGTCTTTGGCGAGATCAGACGCACCCATCAACCCGCTGAACCGCTTGAATGTTCGTGGTATCCTCACATGAGGGTTGACCTCAATAAGAACCCCTTTTGCGGTGTGGATGTAGACTTGCAGTAGGCCAGCCTTGTTCAAAGGCGAATCCAGCAGCGTCAGGAGACACTTGACGCAGTGTCAGTGCTCCTTGCCCACCAGAAAAAAACCTGCCAGCTCGCACCTGATGTGTGATGTCCGGCCTCGCATCCGCAATGTCCCGCCCCGTCTTTGCCAGGATGCCCTGGTGGTCGTCGCAGTTAAGCAGGGCATATTTGACGTCGCCCTCACGGCCGTTCTTGGACCGCCCGCCGGTGCTGACACGATACGCCTCGAGGCATGCCTGCTCCAGCACGACAAAAAGCCGCCGCTGGGAGGAAGCGACGCCGCCGCGGGGGACGTGCGCCTGCACGGGGAGCATGTGGGGGTTTGCTGGCTGCATGAGCGGGTTGCGGCTTGATTCGTGCAGCGACTTGCGTGTCTTGGTGGGGAGAGGGCGAGTTGGCCGGTCTGCCGGAGCCTTCTCCTCGACGGGCGATTCCGAAGAGGAGCTGCTGTCGGACTCTGGGTCGACCAGCATGTCCTCGGGCTCAGGCTCGTCCTCGTTCTCGTGCCGCCGACGTTGCTTGGGACGCTCGTTCGGCGGGGTAGATTTTGGGCGCGGCGGGGGGATGGACACGCGCGGGGAGGTGATGATTTCGACGGCGTTGGCACCAGAGTGGCGGCGGCGGCGGACGGCGGGTTGCTCGGTGCTCAGGGCCATGGCGATGATCTGGCTGGAAGGGGACGATCCGCGAGGCTAGGGACGGGAAATGAGGACAGCAGGGGCGGGCTGGACGTGTGGGATAAGAGAGGGTGCTACTGCAGAGGACTCATCCCGGACTCATAAGGCGAGAAGCCGAGCGGCTGAGGGCGCGACCGTACCCCGCAATTTTCACACACAGATCCCTCAGATCCTCTCGTCCCACACCCGAATTTGTCAAATTCCACGTAAACATCTGCATTCCCTGCGGCCATGTAATACCACAAACGCCAGTATGTAATACACCTTGTTGGATAGATTCCGTATACCCCAATGGCCCCAGTCTGAAACACGACCAATGGCGATCGACAACAGCCCCCTCTGGCCGCATTGTGTCACTGGAAGCTGAGAGCATCATCGCCCCGATTAGGAGCAGTATCTGCGCATCATGCCTGCGTGAGTATCGAAGCACGGGTGAGAGCGCATTTCCGTACCTTCTCTCGCCAAAATCGCCCAACCCGGGCACGATGTACGATTTCTCGTTCAAACCCTGATCAATCCAGCCGGTGATCTGCGCAGAGCACATCAATCTTGGGATCGCCTCGGCTCCACAAATAGCCATTAGCAGACGTACCACCCGGAGAGCTGGGTATTTCGTGCAGAAATTCCGCAAGCCTTCAGGAGACGCGATCTGTACGTTCAATAAGACCACAGCCCTCGCCATAGTCGTGCAACAACATACCAAGTTGATGAAAATGATCCGCTCCTCGGGCACGCCGTGTTCCATGATGACCTCCACCGCTTTCATGGCAGAGCCACCGGTAGCTGGCAGGGATCGTATTAGGGACTAGAACCAGCTCCACATAGTAGCAGTCGCACCGAGCATAGGGTCTAGCAACAGCACATATCGCTGTGCAATATCTTGCGGCAACTGTCCATGTAGCCGGTCGGAGATTTAGCATCCCCTCTGCCTACAGCCCTTTTTTTAATAGCCACGAACCTTGGAGTAGAACAACTTCGGCTGCGCCGTCTCCTCATCCTGCCAAAGAGAACGGTGAGGGTGAGCTACTTGTGCAACCTAAGAAAAACAGTATGTGGACACACCCTTTGAATCAGAATCTTGCCGATGCGGACGCTCCTGCACACTTCCCGGAGGCCCGCCTCCATCGCCTGGCGCACGCAAAAAGATTAGTATGACGAGCGGGGGTGCAGCTTGCGCACAGAGACGTCTACCTCGCCCGCACGCAGGATGGACACGCCGCATATGTGCCCCTCGAAGCCGACACCCTCGTACGTTACGCCCTGCCGCGCGCATCACGATCGTCAGTACGGGTGCTCGCACGACCACGATCGAGAGCGGGCGTGCGCACCGTGGGCGTCTCGATGGTCTTGGGCACGACAGGGAGGTGGTTGAGGCCCTCCTCGACGAGCAGGCGGATGATGCGGTCAGAGTAGAAGAGAAAGTCCCCACGGCTCGTGCTCTTGTCGCGGATGATCGTGTACAGCGCCTCGAGCTGGGCCGTCTGTGGGAGCGTAAAAACGGACGGTGGGAGCGACGCGGGCGTCGTCTGGGACGAGAGCGAGTTCTGCGCGACCATTGTTGCTGTGCGTGTGTGATTGTGCACGTTGGCGGGCGGGCGTGGACAAGATCTGCGCACACGGATAGGGTCAAGTCACACTGCTGAGAGAGCGGGTCCCTGCGCCGCGAGGGTAGTGTGTGGAGAGCATGCGCCAAGGTCAGGTTCATCGCGATAAATACTAGCTCGGCTCGCAGACGCCTCGCCCCTTACCCAGGCGCGACTCTGCGATGCATAGAACGTCGGCAATACACTATCTACAGCTCGCTACTACCGAAGCCAGCTTCGCCAGAAAATGCACCACACCTAATAGAAGTTCTAATCGACGCGTGCACCCTCACAAGGTCCGTGCGATGATATGATACGTGCACTGCAGCAAGTGCGGTCAGTCGGCCCATAGTAGGGACAGAAATCGTAGGCAATACAAATTTTGGCTGTGTCGTATTCTAAAACGTCTGTCTTCTATACCGCCTCCCGTCTTCGTGGTGTCGCGCGCAGGATGTCATCGACACTGTCGGGGGTATCAGCGAGTATCAGGACACTCAGATTGCATTTCACATACCGGAGAATCATCTCTGCAGCCTCACTCGCACTGAGAACTACTTGGCGTTTCAGCTTGTAGCTCTCGGTGACGCCAAGCTTGTGCATGGATCCAATCGCGCCCTCGTTCATGTCTACGTGTTGCGTCAGCGACAGCAGCGAATAGCAGGCAAGCAACGTGAACTCACCGAGGCCGGCGTCCGAATGGCCCTCATAGTGTGCCGCTCGAAGTTTCGACACGAGATCCGACGAGTCATACCCTGCATTGTCTGCTAGGATGGTCGGAATCTGTCTCAGCGCTCTGCTGAACGCCTCCGCTGCGATGGCCTTCTTGCCCGTGATCTTCCGCGCCTCCTCCTCCACCGCACAGCTCATGAGCATCTCCGCGCAGCCGCCACCCAGTACCACTCGTGTCTCCTTCACGGTTTGCGAAAGGACCGAGAGCGCGTCGTGCAGCGAGCGCTCGGCTTCGTCGACCATCTGCGAAGTTGATCCACGCAGGACGACAGTACATGCCTCACCCGCAGCGACGCCAGAGAATTTGATCAGCTATGATACAGCATGCAACTTAGCACACGAATACATGCAGTCAACGCACGTTCGTACCTTATCCTCGCCGATCATGATCTCCTCGATCAAGTCGCAGCGTCCAAGTTTGACGAGGTCTGGTCGGTCGAACGTACTCGCGATCTCACCGCCAGTGACAAGTGATAGTCGCTCCACGCCTTCGAAGTCAGCATGCTCAATTGTGACAATGCCCTTGTCGGCGAGTAGGTTTTCAGGATAGTTATAGATGAGTTGACGGTTCACGAAGCAGTTGATACCGTGTGAGGCAATAGCTTCCACCTTCGCCTTCATTTTTTCCTGCGTGTACAAAGTGACGGAGCTCGTCAAAGAGTTCATTCCGACACATATAACCACGTACTCGTTCCGCACGCTCGAGTTCTGCCAACTTTCCAGTGCTGTCCACCTTCACACGCGCTCCGAAGATCTTGATCTTGTCCGTGTCCATCGCTGCCGAACACACTCCTTAGCACTGGATACCGCACGGCTCCGCGTGTGAACTTACACGTGTTCGCAATGAGAATCTTCGCATTCTCTAGGCGTTTTGGACAATTGATACCGATCGTCTTGTCCAGAATGAATCCTACATTCCTATCAATGCCGGTATGATATGACAGATGAGAATGGGCCTCACCTTCGTCGAGATACGAATCCGTGAGCTTTTCGCCAACCTTCTTGATGATTTGAATGTGATCCAAGTCGGTCGAGCCCTAGGCGCAGCATGAGCTTCGATGCGCATGCTAACGTGAGATGACGTTGCGTTCAAACCTTCAATCGGAGGACAGCATCGACAGCAAGATTCGCAAAATACTCCTTGTCCTGTGAGAGGACTTTTGACGAGAGCGTTGTTCGCGCAATATTGAAGAGATCTTGTCTGAACTGAGCAGGGTCCGTACTATGATCATCTTAAATGAGCCTCAGCACCTACGGCATGACCAGCGCAGAGGCAGACGTCGATGCGTATCCCTAATCGCATACTCACCTATGGTCGACCGCCGCCTTCTCCAGTGCCTTCAACGCCGCGGCGCTCGCAATACGGTACCCCTCAACGATTGTTTGCGGGTGGATCCTCATCGCGATCAGTTTCTCCGCCTCACGCAGTAGCTCCGCCGCGAGCACGCATACACTCGTCGTCCCGTCGCCAACCTCATCGTCCTGCACCTTCGAGATGTTCACTAGGATTTTCGCCGCAGCGTTGTCCAGTTGGATCGCCTTCAGGATCGTTGCGCCATCATTTGTGACGTTGATATCGCCGGAGGACGCGGACTGGAGGATCTTGTTCATGCCCTTAGGACCTAGAGTCGACTTGACGAGGTCGCCGAGGGCTAGAGCACCGACGAAGGATGAGAGACGCGCATTTTCCGCCTTCTCTTCCGTTGCCTGAGCAGTACAGGTTTCGAGAGCATCCTACACTGCGAGAATGCACGACTCACCTCGTTACCAAAGATATTCATCGACATATTGACTGATGGCAAGCTTTACTCCGAGGACGCGCTCTGAGTTCCAGGGAGCGCGTAATTCTGCAAACTCCCACGCTACCGATAGCCTACGCGGCGAAGATAACCTAACAGCATACCTTTAAGAGGGTTGAATACTATCAATACAAACTAATCCCTTGCAGCCTCATACGCGCCAGACACGTCGGTGCGCGCAAGATCATCTTACTGCGCAGCCTCCACCAGTCCGCCCCGTCTCTCCTTACTTCCCCATCTTCTCCTTCACCCTCGCGTGTATCTGGCCTTGCTTGTATTCTTCATCTCGTCTCGCCATGTCCGGCGGTGTCAGAGTCAGGAGACCGACCTCTCCGCCACCTGGTCTACCCCAGATGGCCCCTCAACGATTCCCCCATCTTCGTCATGACCATTTGGATGCCGATGCGCGCAAGGAGGCTGCGTCGAAAGGCTATGTCCCAGGTCGTAGAACACACGCACCGGGCGGCCTCAACATTACCCCAGGCGAATGGAAATTACTTGGCGTAGTTGTCATTCTGGCCATGTGCGTGCGGTTGTTCCGCATATCACAACCAGATAGTGTAGTGTAAGTAGCTCTGCGTCTCATGAGAAGGCATATGCTGAGCGAGGCCCAGTTTTGACGAGGTGCACTTTGGCAAATTCGCGTCAAAGTACATCAAGTCGCAGTACTTCGTAGACGTGCACCCCCCACTCGCCAAACTGCTAATCACGCTAGCTGGTTTTGTCTTTGGCTACGACGGAAACTTCGACTTCAAGGATATTGGAAAGTGAGTGCTATGATGCACGTTTGTCTTTCGACGCATAACCTGACGCACACAGAGCCTATGAGCATGTACCATTTGTCGCCATGCGTCTAGTGCCTGCATTCATGGGCGTTGCAACTGTTCCTATATCCTATCTAACCCTGCGTGCTCTTGATTGCCGCGCGACGACGGCCATGCTCGCTTCGCTCTTCATCACCTTTGAGAACGGTCTCGTCACCCAATCTCGACATATCCTGCTCGACTCACCCCTCGTGTTTTTCACTGCTCTCACCGTGCTCCTCTGGACTGGCTTTTGTAACGAGGACAAACATGAGCCCTTCACCGAAATGTGGTGGACGTGGCTTGTCCTCTCCGGTCTGTCTCTCGGTGCAGTGGTCAGCTGTAAGTGGGTCGGTCTGTTTACGATTGCCACTGTGGGCTTCAGCACCATCAAGCAGCTCTGGACACTCTTGGGCGACTTGCGTGTTTCGTCGAAGGTGTTCATGAGACATTTTATGGCCCGGGCAGCCTGCTTGATCGGCATTCCCATCCTGTTCTACATGTTCATGTTCTGGATCCACTTCCTGATCCTGCAGAACCCCGGCGATGGTGATGGTTTCATGAGTTCTGAGTTCCAGCATACACTCAACGGCCGCGGTATGGCGGACACATATGCCGGTAAGACCATTACAGGTAGGTCACAGCCCGCACCTCATATTCGGTCGTTGCAGATGTTGCGCTTGGTTCTACGATCACGTTGCGACATGTCAACACCCAAGGCGGCTATCTGCACTCGCACTCTCACACTTATCCCACTGGTAGCCAGCGTGAGTTGCGTCACCAAAATTATATCTCTGCTATGTTGAACCCAATCACCGTACACAGAACAACAAATCACGTTATATCCCCACCGTGACGAGAATAACGTATGGCGAATTTTGAATGCTACGCGGGAAGGCGATCCCACCCACGACTGGGCGAACCAGCCGCTCACGTACGTCACCCCGGGAATGCATATAAAGCTGCAACACATTGTCACCGACAAGCACCTCCACTCGCATGAGCAGCGGCCGCCCGTATCAGAGGTCGAATACCAAAATGAAGTGTCAGGATATGGCATTCCCAATTACCCTGGCGATGCGAACGACGACTGGGTCGTGGAAATTGCGCACGGGGATAAGCGAGACAAGGAGTCGAGCAAGCGTCTCAGGACGTTGCGCACGCACCTCAGACTCAGGCATGTCATGACCGGGTGCTACCTCTTCTCGCACAAGGTCAAACTGCCGGATTGGGGCTTCGAGCAGCAGGAGGTGACGTGCAACAAACAAGCGATAAAGGAGAACTCGCTGTGGTACATTGAGACTTCTGCGCATCCCAAACGTGTGTTGGGATACACCTGTTTCCAAATTGCGGCATACTGATAGCTAATCATGTCGCAGTGCCTCAAGATGCACCCAAGGTCAACTATAAGCTTCCTGGGTTCTTGTCCAAATTCCTAGAACTGCAGCAAGTCATGTGGGCGACTAATGCAGGCCTCACGGATCGTCATACCTTCGATTCCCGTCCTGACTCATGGCCTCGTATGCGTCGCGGCATCGTGGGTGTTCTAACATCTGGGCTGTCATCGAGATTGATTATCTGTCGCAGAACTTCTGGGTAAGAGATCATCGCCAGATATACCTCCTGGGCAATCCCATGGTATGGTGGCTGAGCACTGCGGCCGTACTGTGCTATGTCGCCGTGCGAGCATTCTTGATTCTTCGCGCAAAACGCGGCTACAGGGACTTTGAGAACAGTGAGTTGCTCCTTAACCGCTGCGCGTTTGAGTACCAATACTCTCGCAGCGAAGGTCGTAAAGTACGATACCCTCTGTGGTTTCCTGTTCGTCGGCTGGTCTCTGCACTACTTCCCGTTCTACCTCATGGGTCGCCAGCTCTTTCTTCACCATTACTTCCCTGCTCTCTATTTTGCCATACTCCTGTCATGTGGGGTCTTCGACTTGGTGACATCGGCTCTTAAGCCTAAGGTCCGCCTGCAGGTTGCGGGAGTCCTCCTAGTCATCGCAATCTGGAACTTCGTGTACTTGAGTCCTATCGCGTACGGCAACACCTGGACGAAAAGCAAATGCGAGAATGCGCGTTGGCTGAGGACATGGGACTTCGCATGGTGAGTGTCATTGCCCTTGTGTTGATGCGGCTGATCAATACTGGTCTAGTGGCGAATTTCACGAGAAGGTATGTACCGAAGCACGAGACGTTTATAACATTGCTCACTGATGTGTGATATCTCTTCAGTACTCGGATTACGATGTGGCCATCGCTGCTACGCCGCAGAGATCGACAGCACCCGTCATTAGTCCACCTGCTGCAGGAGAATATAAGCAGGCGGAGATCGTCGTCGATGTTCCTCTTGAAGACGCTGCCGAAACCACGATTGATTTTGGTCACGCCGAACCTGGGCTAAACATCTTCGCCGGCGTCCCACACGAGGACCTCAAAAGTAGCAACGTCGTCGTCAAGCAGCAGCCGGCGGAAGAGAAAGAAATTAGCTCAGTTGAGGTGCAGCAAACCTCGACAGCCGCACAAGCGTTCCATGGGGTGGCGCAGCCTGCTGCCGAAGACGCTACTGCAGAAACCACCTCGGAGGACTCGCTAACCGCCGTGGATCTGCCTACACCAGAAGAAGAAGAACCTGTTAAGGTCCAGGGCGCTCTGCTGGAGGAGGAGGCTGAGGCGGATCGTGTCAGGCACGAGCTATTCTCTGACGCCGAGCTGGATTAGTGCAATGCTTGTATTTATTGTATTTCTCATATCAATTCGAGCGCATGACAGCATCCTTTACAGTCGAAAGGATGTTCGGGACCGCAGAAAGGTTGGTGAATATTGCCATGCGACAATCATCGATGCAGGACACTCATTGCCCCGATGTAGAATCGGCGGCGCTGGTATTCGCCAAGCAATGTGGTCCATCGGTATTAATGAGGTGCATGTGGTGTTTACAAGAGTCCAGCCAGGAGTCCTGATGGCCATGCGCGTTCGCGCGCTGGATCCCAGATTGCATCGTTTTTCATTGCTGTGTGATACGTTTGTTCACTCGTGGAGGACGCAGAGATTTTGTTGGATCTGCCACGTTATTTACTCGATTTCAGGCTATCCCTCCTCCCAGGCTTTCAATCTTCACCTTCACTGGAGACATAGGACGAGTCTTCAGCCACCGCTTCAGCTCCTCTTCTGCGTTACTCTGAGCGGCGCTTTGGACAATAACACAGCTTGTCCGTCAGTGCACCTAGCGACACCGTTTCTTACCCATGACAAATACACCGCCTCTCTCGGGTTCGACAGTTATTTCGCAGCTAGAAGTAGCGTAAGTTGTCTCTCAAATGTAGCTAAGTTACTGATGCAAATATAAAATAGAGAGCTTTCCAACTACTTTGCTTGGGTAATTATAAGTGAGTTTCTCCGATTTTGGCCAAGAAATCATCCGGTTGAACGGCGACGGTATTCAGCACTGATTGTCTATGAGACAATATTCTCCATCGCGGATGATGTGCATATTATGCGGTTGCCCAAATCGAGCGCGACATTTTTGCAACTGACAAATCGGTTGGCTTGTTGGCTTTTGCATTCATGCTTGTACCTTTCCATATGACCAGCACGCCAGTGGGTTATCACTATTCTGACCCTCGGTGTACTTATGCTCATCGAATGCCTCCCAGGTGTTAGCCCAAGTCTCTATCTCGTTTGTGATGATTCACTCATGCCCACACTTGCAGCTGTGCATTCTTCGACTACGGCTACTCCCTTGTATCTCTCATCGTCGCGGGTTTGTTGATAGGTAAGAACATGGTCCGTGCGACGTGTAAATCCTATGCTTAACCCCCCTCATATGTTAGCTGTGACAGCGTTGCGTGCATTTGCGGTCAGTGGTCGAAATTGGTACATTGTCGCATTCATGTGGCTTTTGGGCCTTGTACCTACCGCCATAAACTTTGTTCGTCCTCTTCGTCGTGACCGATATGCATCAATTGATTTGACCCCACAGTTTCGAATGTCAAGGACTACGACGTATTTTATCCCTCCATGGGGATGTGTCGAGTCTATAAATATCGACAACCAAATTTCTTTAGCGTAAGTACCCATGCTATATTATATGCTATCAAATTTTGCTCAAGACTCTCCGCACTACACAGTAGTAAGCGCAATGCTCTCTTATACATGCTCTACTCATAAATCGATACGCATTTTTGTTACAGCCGGGATAGTCTCACGATTATCCTTTCTCCTTCCTGATATCATGGCCGTTGGCGTTACATGGTTTTATATTCAGCGCGGAAAATCAGCGAAATTACGATCCATATGTAACTTTTGGACTGTAAGGCCTGATATTTTGACTGTCACACTCCATGATGGTGAGCCCTTCATGTCGTTTCTCAATCTTATAAATTCATTGATCTGGCTATCGCTCGAAGGAACACTCTACTTTTTGTAAGCACACCGACGCAGACGGGCAGTCGAAAGTAGCTAATCAGCGTCACAGGACTATCTCATTGCGCAATGTTATCAGCCTCGTCATGGATTTCTATGTTCGTGGTGCTTCCTAGCACGGAATTTTGTTGACTGACAATGTCCCCAGCACAACTTGCTTGATCTCGCGCCATTCGTCACTGCGTCGGTGTCTGTTTCTTTGCCTGATGGGAGAAATAATCGATTTATCTTTCACAGGATGTCATCCATCCTCATCTCTCGATTCCTCCTTCATATCCGCGAAGCAGCCGATTGTGCCTCAAACACTGACGCCATGCAGTCCTATGTGTGCACTGAAAGCGAGTCTGACAGGCACACCTGGCTGTCAACAACCGACTTCGCTCTCCACAGCTCGGATGATACGGGTGATGTGGATGTGGATGAGCACCCGGGCTTTGACAGCGTTCCGAGAGACGGAGTAGGCGGTAGTCACAGAAACGTCGACATGGGGCTAGACGTCTCTATAGGGATAGACCGGCAAGCATACTGATGTGTTGTTCTTGAAGAAATCGTCTCACGAGAGTTCGCTTTGAGTGTGACCACATTTCCTTGCTGGGAGCCTTTTGAGGAGTCTTCTTGCTTGCACGCTCTCTCACGCCTCTGACGTTTGTCTCTTTCGTTCCTGCATTATCGTGTAACAGAAGCCGTGGCATAGAACACACATCGCAATGATTCCTGCCATTGTGAGCTGGCGAGGTTCAAATGGCCATCGTCCATCGCAGTGGAAGGACAAAATGCATCCTTCGCGCACGCTCTGAGCCGTGCAACTTGAATGTGCACTTCAAATTACACGTCATGACTGTCCTGCTCGGCGGTTCATGGCGATCATGATAACTGTCAGTACGAGACAGCACCTATCGCCCTTCCGGTTGCCCTGGGCTTAGCGAATTTGACGATGACGAGGATGTAGGATTGCGGATCTACAAAATATAATGCAACTTAACCAAGCGAAGACATTGGTGCTGGACGCTTGTGCGCACGCCGCACGGGTCTCACCCGTCATCTACCAGCTGCGCTTGCATTCTTGCGTTGTGATCTTCCTATAACACCAGAATGTGTCTACGAGACCTTGCTTTGGAATCAGTGAACATTGAGTGTGCACTTCTTCCAATGCCGCGTATCGTAGAGGCATCCGAGACATGCTGATGTATCCGACAGCATCTCATCTCATGGCGAGGTGCTACTGTGTCAGTTCATGATGTCTATTATCATACGTAGTGCCTCAGAGTGACTGTGGGCCAATGCGTCGTCCTGCTTTCGAGGTGTAGCGCGTTTCCTTGGCAGCTTTCACGAGCACAGCTTCTGCGTAAATGCTCTTTCGATGTCTGATGTCTACGCTTTGTTACAGTGTCCTCCTGATCATACACAGCCACAGTACTGAGCGGCTACTACGCCACTGCCAGGTCAAAGCGCGTTACCCCTTTTCTGCTTTTGTACTTCAAAGTCTTGATATTTGACGTGTCCGGGTACCTGGCTTTGGCTTTTTGTGTAGAGGCTCTTTGTGGCGCGACACTGCTGTTATCACAGCCCAACCACAGATAAAAAGCAGCTGCCAATCACTGTATGCCAACATTTCCGACATTGTCCTTCCCGTCTATTTCCCTGCCTCCTATAGCAAACTCCATATGATACTGCCTCGCACCTTCCAACGATCACTACCAGTCTAAATCGTTGACCTGCCATACAAGTCTCCTAGGGGAAATCCACAATCACGATATCGCCAGAATCAAGAATGTCAAGGGTATGGCGCACCATTTGCAAGAGAGGAATATACTGAATCTTGGTTTAGGAAACCTTGTGCGCTCAACAAGGACTCCTCGGTCTAAACGAAGATGTTCTGCTCGAGATCGTGTCGCACCTCGACGCGGCGAGCGCTAACAATCTATCGGCCACCGCTCGAGGCATACACCCCATCGCGCAAAGGCAGGCTCTATCTAACCTGGAGATAAATGTCATGGACAATCTCCATGGCTATGAAATGATCACGGAGATGTGTACATACATGCTCGATGACATACCTGGACGTCTACACTGCGTCAAGTCGCTGAAGATTCGCGTTCGAATTATTGAAGAATGTCACCCTTCTGGAACGGGTCCATATGATAAGATCACCATGCCAGCTAGGCGAAAACTGGCACAATTCCTCGAGAACGCCATTCAACTGCAGTCGCTCAAATTGTATCCCTTTGGCAACCTCATCACCCTGGAGCCACGCTTAAAGTCAGCTATCCACGCCCTGCCTAACTTGCGCTGTTTGAACATCTCGGATCTCTTGGATCTGAGCCCATGTGTCCAGGAGTTTCTTTTGACTATGCGTCACCAGCTGCAGAAGCTGCGAGTGGCCGATTTGTGGACCGACATGACAGAGTACAGGGTCCTTCCTGCCCTCAGAAACATGAAGATGACTGACCTTGACCTTGATCTGTCGCAAGACTTCGCCTGTCGTCGTTCTTCGAACACCCTCAATGGGCCTCACCATCCGTATTTTTTCCCCGATGTGCGCAAGCTATCCCTGTCGCTTCCTGATGAAAATATTTCAATGTCTACGCTGGTGCGAGCCTTTCCAAACATTCGCGCGCTGCGCATCCATCGTTGCGGTTCCTTCACTTCAACAGAGGCTGCCTGCTGGGAAAGCCTAGACTCCGTTGAAGGACCTGTGGGATTCTTCGAGCAATGGTCACCAACTTGCCATATTCCACACGTCTCGATTAGCAGCAGACTTGCGAAACCTCATTTCGACACCCCGTCTTCCGCAACCACGCATGAGCTCAAACCCACTCTTTGCTTAATCAGGAAGGCGTCCCCTGTGGCGCTTACATTGTTGATCATGGCTGATCCTGGACTAACCGACTCCTTCTGGATACCGCTGACCAAATGCACGCCGCGCTTGCGTAGTCTTGAAATCCACCTTTATACTTTTCCGGAAGGAGATGTAATGCCACGCCTTTTCGCATGCAAGGTGAGTATCTATCTAATTCTTATCGTCTAGGTCGACTCAATCATATTGTCTCTAGAATGTCATTTCCGCTGCTCTTGGCCTTATGCCAACCGTGATGCACCTGCGGCTCTCGGTAGTGTACTCATGGAGGAGGATCGGAACTGAGATCGATCAAATACAACCAGAGGAATGGGCGTTGCAGCTCCTTGAGCAAGCCCCGTCCGTCCGTTGCGTCTCGCTGTCATTCACTAGCTGCCGAAGATACTTTCCTCATGACACCAAGACTACTGCATGGAAGGTCGTAGGTGCTCGGACGTGCCGCAAGCTCGAAAGGATCACTGAAGCTTTGGAGGAAGATGTCCAAAGACGTATCATCGCGCCTGACTTCGACCCGAGGACCAGTCTCTGACGCTCCGGTGCTGCTTTCGTTGATGCGGATTTTGCTGTCCATGTATACTTGTAATATATCGATGTTATTTGTCTGATTCAAATGGCCCTTCGCTGGACCTATGGAATGGAGTGCGGCTTACAATTAACGTACTATGGAGGGATCCAGCAAGCAACAGCTCTGCGGGCCCTTGCCAATACAGCTCACCTGCACTCATCGTGACTAACAAGCCATGGCTGCTTGTCGTAATGCATGATCTACTGAAAATCCACCCGCAGTTAGGTCTATGAAGGACGCCATATACATATATAAACTTTCGAGCATGGAGATATAATACAGCCAGGGTCTCGACACCCCGTCGCTTTTCGCTGGCAGTATTCTTTCGTCCTCAGGACGAAACTTCGGTGCTGGACCAAAACAAATACCGCACTGCCTGGATTACCGCCCCCGTTGCTGTGGCGAGAAGTGTAAGCCTTATTGAACTCGAACTGTGCCCTAACTCTCCGTCTTCACTATCTAGCAGTTTGAATACGAGAAATCTAATAGTGTGGGTCTCTTAAGCCCTGTTTAAGTCCGTCATAGGCTTAAATAAAATCATCATCGTCAAGCCGTCATCACCTATGAGATATGCCTCACACTTGAACATGATTTTAGCTTGCCGTCCCGACACAATTCACTTGCCACATATTTCTAGTCTCCCTTAGGCAGCTTACAATACAGCGCCCTATTTGAGACGTCCAGCACCACAATGCATACTTCCGCGTCAACCAGCAGCCTGTGCACGCTCAAGTCTCTTATTCACCGCCACCGGCCGTCCGCTCGGAGGATGCGCCATATCCGCAAACCGCCCCTCTCGCATCCTCAACAGCACCTGAATAAGAAACCCTGCGTCCACAACCTGCTGCCCTTGTTCCGCCGACTCGCTCGTCACCGGCGTCGCTCCACTGCTCATCGTCCCCCCACTCCCCACACTTCCGCTACGCCCGACCGACTCTCCGCCAGCCGGGCGTTTCGCCCCGGAATATCCAGGCCTGTGCTGCGCGAACACTCCGCGGGCAGAGTCACCGCTTCCCGACATCCCGTCCTCGCGGTAGCGATCCCACAGCGCATACAGTCCGATAATCTCCTGAGCGATGGTCGCGACGTGCGCCATGCTCACATTGAGACCAGCCATGAACCCTACGATGTCCTGCGGCTGCTTCCTGTGTGTCGCCGCGTTCGAGCGGGAAGACCGGCGTGGTGTGGTGGCTGTGGAGGGCTGCGACTGCAGTTGCGAGTGTGACGAGCTGCGCGACACCGGCTGAGACGACGACGAGCTCGACTGCGCTTGGATGAGGCTGCGTGTCGAGTTGTGGAGTACGAGCACAAGGTAGATGGCAGCGATAGCAATCAGATGAGGCGGGTGGATGAGGCACAGGTCGGTGCGATAGGTGTCGTTGATGATGAACCTAGCAGCAGCCTGTTGTTCAGATGCGTGTGCTGTGAGCGAGCGAGGAGACACCCACCAGGCCATCTGGAGCGCGCCATCTTGCAGCTCCAGCTTGCCCTCGCCTGTGCCCCAGAATCGCCGGCCATCGTCAATGCCAGCACCCACCTCGCCGGCTTCTGCTTCGCTCACGTGGATGCTGCCCTCCTTCCCGCACAGCATCATCAGCGTGCGGTAAGGGTGGAACACAATCAGGTCACACTCCAGATCGTCTACCAGGTAGAACTCCATCTCCGCGAGCTTGGAGTTGTCTGTGGGAAACGACTTGACGCCGTACTCTTCGCCTACAATGAGATTCAATCCGAGCGAGCTGTACGCGGATGCCGTGCTTACTGCCAAATATCT